ATTTAAAAATAGAAATATAGAATTTCAATTTTTACTTCTGGTGCTACGCAAAGATTATTCCCTACAGATAACCATCTCATTGGGCACTTGTCCAAAACTTTTAATTTAGGAGCTTCAGAAAAAAAAAAAAAAAAAATAAATAAATAAATAAACAGTAATTTATAAAATGAAAATTCATAAAACAATTGATAAAGATATCATAATTTATAAATTAATTGTTGATAAAAAAAAAAAAAAATTTTTTTTTTTTATTCTTATGCATAATTTTTACAATCAACACATGGCCATTCAACTTCACATTTCCAAGCAAAAAGCTCTTTATCTGCACTTGTACTGTTTGAAAAATCTATTGATCTACATCTGAGAAATCATAAAAAAAAAAAAAAGTATATATACAAGAGAAAATCATGTAATACATAATTTAGGTGAAAATATTTAAACAATATTTTAAAAAAAAAAAATTTTTTAACTGTCCATCATATGTATCAGGTGGAATACAAAGGTTTTCATCATAAGAAGATATTTTCCATTCTTATAAAAAAAAAATAATATAAAGAATAATTTTACATATATATGAAAGATATTATGTTTAAAAATCCCATTTATCTTTATTATATAAACAATATTTCAATAATTATAAAAACTCTAAATTTCAATTCAAATGTGCACAATTTCTATATATTAATTTTAAAAAATATACGATTACTTTCAATTTTTCTTTTTTCTTTTTTAAATTCAAATATTAAAATTTCAATAAATATATTTTATTTAACCTAAAGGGCATATACTAGAGTAGTCTCTTCTGCATTTACCAATATACCTAAATAAAATTTAAAACAAAAAAAAAATATATATAAGGAAAATGCTAGCAATTGTAATATAATAAAATATTAAATATAATAAATAATAGAATTTATGGATTAAAATGAAATCTTATATTATTATCCAACCATAATTTTTTTAGTCTTTCTTGAATTATTTTAAATATTTCTTAAATAAAAAAAAAAAAAAGCAAAATAAATAATATTAAAAAAAAAAAAAAATATATATATATATTAATTAAACCATCATCTAAAAGATTTTCTATTTCTGCATTTTCAAGATCAATAGTTGCTTGTTCTTCAGCCTTTAAAAAAAAAAAAAAATATATTTATCTATGCATATATCGTTATAATATATTAAATATAATATCAACATACATTTTCAAGATTTTTATGCGCTATATGATCGAAATTTGAATTTTCTAATTCTTCTTCTTCATCATCCTCATCTTCCTTTTCATTTGCAACTAATTCTTCATTTATATTATATAATTCATTCAAATCTCTATATTTTTAAATTAATTTATGTTTTATAGGAATATAAATAATTACGATAAAAAGAAAAAAAAAACAAAAAAATTGATTAAAAAAAAAAAAAAATTTGTTTTTTACTTAGAAATATTTTTGTTAGATTTAACACTAAGAAAACTAAAACAAAAATTTTTATAACATTTAATACTTGGGGAAATAAAAAAGAAAAAGAAAGACAAAAAAAAAATTGACATGTGTTTCATTTTAATTTGTACAAATTTTATTTTTAATAATATTATAGGAGAAAAAAAAGTTTATATCATTAATAAAAATCAACTATTATAAATTAAATTATTAGAAACTTGCAATTAATTTTTTAAATAAATTATTTTGTTCTCTGTTTCTAAATATTATTATTCTCTTTTTTTTTTTTGCTTTTTATACATATGAGTTAATTAGGAATTAAAAAGGATAATCTTTTTAAATTAGTAAAATCTGTATATACATCAAAACGAAAAAAAATGTAATTGTTAAAAGAATTAATCACATTTAATAAAAACATATTTATTCTTATATTTTAATTTTACTTTTTATAAGACAAAATTAAGAAAAGAATAATAAATAATTATTAAAGATGTAATGAAATAGAGAAAAAAAAAAATGGCTTAAAAATGTTTGTGAAAATCAAATAAAAGACATGTTATATAGAAAAAAAAAAAAAAACAAAAAAAAAAAAAGTTAAAAGTTTGTTAATAAACTGTAAATAATATTAGTTGTAGAACAACCTATAATATAAATAATATTAATAAAATTAAATATAAATCTAAATTAAAATAAACATATCTAAATAAAAAAATTATAAAAAAAAAAAATACATTTTAAAATAAAATATATCAAAATAAATTAAAAAAATATAAAAATGAAAAAAGGTCTAATATAATAAAAAGGAAACTAAAAAACTTCTCTTTTAAATATTAGAAAAAAAGGAAAAATAAACAATTAAAATTAAAAATATTGAAATTAGGTTACAAATATTTTTATTAATTAAAAAAATAATATAAAATTTATGAAAAAAAAAAAAAAAAGAAATTAAAAAATACTAAAATATAAAATAAATTCTCTTTAAAATTGAAAAAAGTTCACACTTTTTTCCTTTTTATTAATATATCTTATTATGATGAATACATAATGAATATAAAAAATAAATTTATATGAATACTGATTCAAAAAAAAAAAAAAAAAAAAAAATTATTTTCTTTTTAATTATGCAATTTTACAGATATTTCTGGACATATGAAAATTTCATTAGGAATATTTATAGTATTTTCATTATTATAATTATCTTTTCCTTTATCATAATCATTATCATTATTATTTAAGTAACTGTTAGAACTTTTATGAAAGTCATTTAAATTGCTATTCAAACAATTACTAAAATCTTTTTCAAAATCATTATTTATGTTATTATTTGTATCATCAATTATATCTTTTTTATTATATTCAGTATTATCATATTTGGGATGTATATATAAATATAATAAATTTTTAAATAATTTTTCTTTTTTTTGAGGATCACAATTTTCAGAAAAAAACCATTTAAAAGCTGTAACAAAATCTTCATTCATAAAATCAAATGAAAAAGCAGCTTTCTTAAAACATTGATTAGCACTAGTTAATAAAATATGAGAACAGGAATTTCTGTATGAATAATTTTCCGGATGAAAAATTAAAATTGAGCAAGAGATTGATTTAATAGAATTTTTAACATGATTTATATCAAAAGTGTCTTTTAATATTCTTTTCATTAATAAGTATGGAATATTATTTTCTGTCATTTTATATTCACTATTACTATAAAATAGAGACATATCACATGTAATTATACCATTATAAGCATGATAATTTGTACTTAAAATATCTTTATAAACTATTTGATTATTAAAAATACTTCCTTTTTTATTTAAATTAATTTTTTCAAAATTCTTTTTTTTTCTTTCTTGATTTTTTTCTTGTTTATTTTGTTCATGCATTTTTCCTTCATTTTCACTACAATTTTTCATTTTATTTTTCTTTTTCTCCTTTTTCATATAAGAATTTGTTTGACTTGATTTTTTGAAATTCATTTTACTTCTTTTTTTTTTAAATAACGTATTACTTGAATCTTGTTCATTTTCACTTTCTTCATGTATTATAACGTCTTCTTCTCTGCTTTGATAGGAAGTCCTATCAATTAAATTATTACTTTTTAATGAATTATCACAGCTATTTCCTTTTATTGTAATATCATCATTTTTATATTCAGAACTATTTATAATTTCTAAAAATTGTGGTTTAATAATAATTATTCCACCAAATGGTATATTTTTTCCATAAGTATACTCAAACCGATTAACAACTTCTATGGCACAGCTAGCCAAAAATTCATAACATAAAATGTATATATTATTATATGGTATTTTTAAAAAATTTACAATAAATTTTAAAATAGTAAAAGAATCATTAACAATAGATACAAGTTTCTGTTCATAATTATCAAAACTTACTCCATATCCAGAATATTCCATGGCAATTATATTTATATTTAATTCTTTGTGTAATGCATATACTGTTGGTATTGTAGTACCTAAATCTTCATTAAATTTATGTAAATATAAAATTATTTTATCATTCTTTATTGATTTATTATTATCAGAAAAAAAAAAAGCACAAGGAATAGAATCTGTACTAGTAGGCTCAACAATTTTTAAATTTCTTGGAATCCATCCAAGCAAATTTTTAAAATCATCATTCGTATAAGAACTTTCAGGTGAGTACATATCTTTTGGAGAATTTTCATCTGAATAAAACTTTATTTCATCATCGCTAAATTGATAATTTGTTAAAACTTCACTAGAGTGATTTTTATTAATTAGATTTGTTAAATTATTACATTTAACATCAATAAGGTCAAGACATTTACGAGTAACTCCTTTAATTCCAGTTCTTTTATTTTTATTTTTTACTATGTCATTTTCTTTATAAATAATTTCATTTTCCATTTCTGTTAACAACTTTTTATTATTTTAAAAATGAAAAAAAGTAAAAATCTGTATAAACGTTGGGAAGATAAATAAAAAAAAAAAACATTTAAAAAATTAAAAAATTCTGATTAATAATTATTTAAAATTTATAACAATAAGTATATAAAATAAAACAAGGTATTAAAAACGTATATGGATTCAGAACATACGTATATGAAAGAATAATAGCAATAATAGAAAAATTAATATAGATTAATAATAAAAGAACAAAAATTTTATAAATTAACATAAAATACAAATAAACATAAAATGAATTATGGGAATTTTTTCCTTCTTTTTTTTTTTGTATATTTAATAAATATTAAAAATAAAAATTTTCTGAATTCTCCATATGTATGTAACTTAAAAAATAATATATGACATTTTATTTTAAATAACATGTATTTTAGTTAAATTTTAAAAAAAATTTTAATAAGAAAATTGTTATTTTAATTAAATTAAATTTTAAAATGTATAAAATTACATTTTTTTTACAAAAGAACCAAAAAGTTATTTTAATAAATTTATAAATTAACCATAAAAACAAAAAAAAAAAACAATAATGGAACACTCGTATAATAAAACAAAAAATTCAGTAATTCCTACTTAAAAAAAAAAAAAAAAAATAATTTAAATAAGTTAATTTTTGAAACAATAAAAAACAAGGAAAAATATATAAGATGAATTAATTTTTATTTAATTTTTTTTTTTATTGGGGGAAAAAAAAAAAAAATTACAACAAAATTTATCTAACACGTTTGTTCTTGATCCCTTTTTTTTTAAAAAAATAAAATAGTCTCAATTAAAAATAATTTGCGATGAAAAATGTTAAATAATCAATTTTTTTTTCACTTCAATAAAAATAGAAAAAAATAGATATATTTTCAACATTCAAAAATTCTATAAAAAAAAATTAAATATTATGCATGTTGCTCACCATTTTTTTAAAATATATATAGAGCACAATGGAGTGGAAAGCTTCCCTTTTATAAAATTTATATATATATATATATATATATATATATATATATGTATATATATATAAATATGCGTATATATATAAATATGCGTATTTTAGCCTCCAAAAAAAAAAAAAAAAAAAAAAAAAAAATAGCTAGAAGAAAAGATGTATTTACATTGTTTTTTTTTTTTTCTAAATTTTGTTACTTGAATGTGCAAAAATACATTAGAGTAACAAGATGAAAGAGTTAAAAAGGATTGTTAAGTACCCTTTTATTTATGTGAATAATTTAAGATTATTCAATTGTTAAAAAGAAAATTTATACCATTGTTTTACACATAAAAAAAAAAAAAAAGATATATACATTTAGTTTCCTTATTATTTTACATAAATTTCCTAATAAATTAAAATGAATTATTTTCTTGTATCATTTTGTTTCTTACTCTTGTGCATTATGCAAAATTTTGTTCTAAATGAAAAAATTATTCCTATAGGTCCAGTATGAGGCATATTTTAAAAAATTCGCTAAATTTTTAAATATATTGATTTGATATTATAAAATTATAAGCTTAAAATAATTATTTATTTTAAAATTATAAAATAAATTTTTTTCTTAATGTATATTATATGTATATAGGCTAATCGCTCTAAATTAAAAAAAATGATAGAAGGTGATGAAGATTTTAAAATAAATATACATGTAACAAAAAATTAAAAAATTACATAACTTGAAGTTTAAAAAATGCAAGAATCTTTTATGTTAAAATATTTTTTTATTTATTTTTAAGGCACCCGTGGAAGACACACAAGAAGTTCTTGAAGCTTTAGATTCCTTAATGAGAGTAGAAGAAATTCAGAGAAAAGTTGAAGAAGAAGAATTTAGGAACGATATGCAGAGATTATTAAAAGTTCATAAAAAAAGAATTCAGTACACATAAAAAAAAAAAAAAAAAAAAAGAGAATTCAATGATTTTTTCACCATATTTTTTGTGAAATTCTATCTCAATTTTTTTTTTTTTTTTCAAAATTAAAAAATTTTCTAATTTTCTATTATTCAGGGATATTGTTTCCTCAGCTTTTGAACCACTTCATTCATTTTTACCCAATCCTCTGCAATATTTAGTTATCAAAGGTAAATAAAAAAAAGTTCTTAAATAGAATTTTATAATTTAAAATGGTTTAAATTACATATAAACTAGATATATATGAAGTTATTAAAAGTGGAATTATTATGTTATATCTTTTAATAATGTGAAATTTTTTTTATATAATTAACTTCATTTTTTTATGTTTGCAAAAGTTTTTTAATATGTTAAAAATAATAAAGCCATTAATTTATTCATTTGAATACCTTTTCCCTCCTAATTATCATGCGTTTATACAAAAATTATAAATATATATATAACTATATTTATTACTTATTTGATATTTATAGATGTACAATCGTATTTAAAAAGTATAAAAGAGTAACTATTTTGTGAATAAATATTCCTAGCAGAAGTATTAAAAAAGGAAAAAAAAAAATAAAAAAAGCATTTAGTAGAAATATATATCCTTGTGAAGAAAAAAAAAAGAAATTGATTAAATAAATTAAAAAAACGATTAAATGTAAAAAATAGTATGAATAATTTTAAAAACAAAGCATTAAATTAAAAAATAGGATATATTTCTCAGCTTTTTTAAGACATGATTTTATATCAATTTTTGAAATTTGTAAAAATTTTTTTATTATTTAAAAAAATCAATTTTTTTTATAACAATATAAACATTATGTAGATATTTAGGCAATTATTTTTAACAGAAACTATTGTTATAATTGTTTTTATAAAATAGTCTACGAAAACGAATTTAACATAGATAAATAAATGTGAGCTTTATTACAAGTACAGATGACACAAATTTTTTTTTTTAAATAATTAAAAAGTTACAATTAAAAAAAAATGAAACTATATACTTAAATTTTTATATAAGATGAGTTTTCATTGATTTTAAAACATCTGATAACAAAGACATGCTTAACATGCTTGCTAAATTTTCCATAATCTCCAATGTTTGTATCCAATTGTTTATATCCAATCTGGGTGTAAAAATTTGGCCACATTTACAAATTGATCTCCTATGAAATGATTTTATAGCATTACAATTGTTACACACTAAATCTTGTGCCTATATATAAATAGCATAAAAAAAAAAAAATAAAATAAATAAAACATAGAAAAAAAAAAAAAAAAAAAAAAAAAAAAAATCTCTTACATTATAAGCATCAAATGTTTCTTGTAATAATGATAAAATCTTTAATTCTATAAATTCATTATCATACTTAGAATTACAATTTTTACATAACCAAATAAATGATGATTTTCCGTTTATTTCTGCTTCAACTAAACTTGTAACAACATTCATATGATATACAGATGAGCAATTTTCACAAAAAATATCTTTTAAAATTAATTCATGACATGGACTTTTCCAAAGAGAATTTTTTCTGTTATATTCACTTTCTCCTATTATTTCATACAATTCGTGTCTTTTTTCATAAAAAGCTTCATTAGAGTTTTCATTTTCTAAATTCAATAATTTATCATTTTGCATTAAAAAAATACAAAATTTCACAATTTCTAGTCTCCAGTTATTTTCTCTCTTTGCTAAATTCCCTAGAGATGGAGGAAACAAAAATGGTGCTATGCTTAAATTATTTTCATCCACCTCATCATCATCGTAAGGCCAATAATTTTCTATTAAATATTTTTTGTATTTTATTGATTTTTTAATTTTTTTATATATATTACCAGGAATAAACCACAGCTCTTTTAATTTTTCTTCAATTTTGTAAGATAAAACATCTACATTTTCATTTATTAAAGAAAAACTTTCACAAACTTCTTCTAGATCATCAAAAGATTTATCATATATATATTGTAAATTAGCTCTTTGTGCTAAATTTATTTTATCTGTTAATTTATCTGACTTTAAAACTATATTAAAATAGTTTTTTTCATCTTTATGTTTTATACTATCTACATCTGTTAAGTCTTCGTTTTGAATATCATTACTTTTCTTATTATTTTCATAAAGGGAAATTGTATCATGTAAAGGGTTTAAAGTGATAGCATCCAAAACGTATCTTAAAAAAGATTCACAAATAGGTGGTAGATACTCAATTATCTTTAAATTTTCATCAGTGTTTTCCTCGTTGGGATTAGAATATTCTTTATATCTTATAAAATTATATTTATCAAATTGACATGCAGCTATATATTCTTGCTTGATATAAAAAGGTACATTAGCATATATAGAATCACTTGAGGAAAAATAATGTATTAAATTTTTCAAAATATTTCTACCTGATATAATTGAAAATTCATTAAAAGAAATAACAAAATTTCTCAAATCAGCAAATATGATATTAGCATTAAATTTTTTTTTCATAATATTTATTAAATTATTTTGATATATTTCAGAACATTCTAAAACCTTATTATATAATGCTACATCATAAAGTAAGCTAGAATTATTGGATATCCAAGAATAGAAGGATGTAAAAATATCAGAAATACTTTCAAACGTTCTATTTGTAATTAACATAGATAAGGAAGATATCTTAGATATTAAGTATTCTAAAGATTGTCCTAATAACTTAAAGGCAAAATTACTAAATTGAGAAACATGAGAATCTTGTTCCACAATTGAATTAATATCATATTTATTATGAATTAGATTTTTTTTTTGATTACAATCAGATGAATTTAAATAATCGTTTTCAATATTAGAAGAGTTTTCATTTTTGTTACTATTTATTAATAACATATCTTCTTCATTAAGTTCATCAGAATTTTTTATACTTTTATTTGCATTATGAGTTTTAAGATTTTTTTCAAAAGATTTTTTAGAATTTGTCTTTTTAACAAAAGCTTTATATTCATTTGAACTTTTTATGTTGGAATATTTTGTAAAAAGTCTAACACTATTAAAAATAAGAGATTCATTGAAAAATAAATGAACAATATATCCTCTATATATTCCTTGGTTTATTACATCAATGTTCTTTTTTGCTATATCATAGTCACAAAAATTATTTATATTTAAGCAAGGGATACCTAAATCATAATTACCAAAATAAGATAACCATAATATTCCTTTATATCTTTTTAGGAAGGAAGCATATAAAACATCGTAAATAAATTTATGTTTTTGATTTTTTTTTTTTATATTTAACAAATTAAACAATGGAATGTTTGATATCCGAGAAAAATTTAAATCTTCTTCTACTCTGTGATAATTTTCATAAAAAAGTTCTAAAGATAAATTAAAAACTTCACTTTTGTAATTTTTTTTTGGTATATTTTGATATTTTTGACAATTTTCAAATTTATAGAAATAACAAGGAAAGTATTTATTAGTAGTCCACCAACCTAATTTTTTTTTATCGATAGTTGATGATACAAAAAAAATATATTTTTTTTTCCCTATTAATATATTATTACGATATTTATTTAAGTACAAATCTAGATACTCTAAGACTTTATAAACATTAGAATTATCTTCGTAATAAACATCAAACTTTCTGTAATGATATAAAAATAAAAGATCTTTATGTATATTCTTAATAAAAAATTCTTTATTAAACAAATTATTTAATACCTCTTTTTTAATTTCCTCATTTTCAAGGTGATTTAAATAACTACTTTCAGTATTTTCATTTATTATAGTTTCAATCTTTTTGGTTGATGTTATATTTTCAAAATTGTTTTTCATATTGTTAATAAAATTTGCATCATTAGCATTATTTTTTTGGCATTTATATAAATCATTACATATATTATTTTCCTTTAAATTAGTCATCTTATCTTTCATTAGATCTATATAAAAATTCTCAACATGTAAAAATTTTATGAAATTTTCATAAGGATCAAAGTCATTTTCTCTTCCTATTCCACTAAACATAATCTTATTACCATATAATAAATCTTCATTATCTTCTTCATATTGATCAAAAACATTGATAAAAATACGATTACATATATTATCTACGACTGTATGGAATATATTTATATATATAATATGTATATCATCTAAATAATCTTGAGAAATATTTCTTCCTTTATTTGGTTCCACTCTTGTAAAACAGTGAGATTTAAAACATTTCTTTTCATCAAAAATAGAATTATAATTATTTGAATCAATTTCTACTGAATTTCCATATCTACTTAAAAAATCATAATAAAGAGGTATTTTCGTTTCATATACGGAAATGATATTTTCATGATAATTTGCATTTAGGGTATTAATGACATACTGATTGAAATATTTTTCAGTCATAATAAATTCATATAAGTTAAATACTTTAATATTTCTTGGAAGAAAAAAATTAGCATAAGCTTTGGATTTAAATAAGTCATTTTCATTATTGGAACATATAAGTTTTATAGTAATTTTACTGTTACTTTTTAAATCTAGTTGCTCATAATTATTAATATATATATGACGATATACCTGTAATTTTATTTTATAGAATTTATTCACATTTTTTAATGATACTATCGCATAATATACACCATCATCATCATTTTCATCTATTACATCATTTTCATTAAAAAAATCATTTTCATCATTAGAAGAATCTGAATCTGAATCTGTTTCATGTTTAAAATATTTTAAGTATGGTTTTAATAATATATGTTTTTCATTTTTTATGTTATTTAAAGGATCTTCGTTTTTTCTTTTGTTAGTCTTTTTTTTTTTAATTTTTTTATACATATATACAATATCCATAGCATTTTGAATAGTATGTAAATATTTTGGCTCCAAATTAGAAACTTTTTGAGAGCTATTGTTTTCATCTTCATTAAATGATATTCTTTTCTTTTTATATTTTTCTTCATTTCTAATTTTTTTAATTTGATTTCTATTATTTCTCCAAATTTTATTATTAATTAGCATCCATCTTTTAAAATTAGTTTCAAACAAATTATGTAAGTCTTTATTTTTCAGATTATTAATATTTATTTTTTCATGGTCAATAATTATAATATTGTTGCTATTTTCCTCATTATCTAATGAATTTACTTTTTTATAGGCTATTTTTGATATTTCATTATCATTTAATAATATTAACTTTTTTTTTTTTGATATAAAATTATCTAATAAATATTGTTCTAATAATCTTTTTTTTTTTATTACTGTTGTTGGTATTTCTTCACTAGTTAGTGGAGTTTTTTTTTCCATAGAACTATTACAAATTTTGCCTTTTTCTTCAATTTCATTTATTGTATTTCCTATTTTTTTATCTTCATCTTTGATAGTTTCATCTTCTTTTTTAATTTTTTTAACAAAGAAAGAAGTGATTTTCTTTTGTTTTCCTTCAGAAATATTTATTTGTTTTTTTAACCAGTCAGGTACTGATATGGATGTAATTGGGTTATTAATGTTTTGTTTAATAGCTGGAATAATAACTAATTTTAAAATTTGAACTTCCAATTTCTGCTTATAATAATCCCAATCAATAATATCTCTAACATTAACTGGTACATTTGGTGGAAATTTTGTACCCAACCATTTACTTAAATAGTAAATTTGTGTATCTACATTTGTTTTAAATATTTGTATAGGTATAGCTCTAAAAGTAATATCTGACCCGACTGGTTTAGAGGCAACAATGAATTGTGTAGAAACATTATTATCTTCTATATAACTTGCGTTACTTAGTAGCTCACTCAATCTTTTAGCAGTCGTTATACCAAAACTTTTGGCATTTGGCTGTTCTTTCACAGATTTATTTAAAACCTTTTTTGCCAAAATTAAATCAAATAATTCATCATCATTATCAATATCAACCGCTTTAGTATCTATTAAATTTTTCCATTTATTGGCAGTTAATGATGCATAATAATATGATTCTTCCTTTGTTTTTCCTTTTAGAAAATGGTTAAAAATTTCACTTTGAAATCTTTGAATAATTCTTAATTCTCCTCTTCTTTTTATCTCAAAACCTTTTAACTCACTAATTTTATATTTATCGTTAAAAACAACATATCTTTTTTTTAATAAATCATCTGATTTTTCTGAAGCAGGTAAAAACATACCATGCCAAGGTCCATCCAACTCAAAAAAAATTTCATTTTTACTAATACATTCATAATCATCTGTTTCTTCATTATAGATTAAATATTGATCATTAGTCCATTTTTTGTGCATTTCAAAGTTTAATATATTAGTTGGAAATTCAAATTCTACCTTTTTTATGTTGGGATCATTTTTTAATTCTTCATCACATTTATTTTCATATTCATTTTTCTTATTTAACATTTTTTTATCGATTATAAAAATTTCATATATTTCAGGAAAATGTTTTGGCAACATACACCATATTCCATCCGTATCTAATTCCATAGGTATTCCAATTTTATTGATTAAATTAAATGCTCCATTTATTATTTGGGAACCTGTATAAGTAACAATTGCTCCCATTTGATCAGAATACCATCTACTACTTTTTCTTTTAACATAACCATAAAAACTATTTAATATACACTTATGTGCTAATTGTAAAGAATCATTTAGTAATATTTTATCGTCTAATTCTTGAATTTTTATATAATCAATTCTTTTTTGTTTCAGTAATTCTCTTTTTTCATGTTCACATTCTTTAAGTCCTTTTTTATAAACATATCTCCTGTCTCTGAAAGTCCTTACAGTATCCACATAAAATGAGTTTTCTCTTTGGCACACTAAACTTGAAGTATCTACTTCTTTTGCTACTTTAGTTTTCTTAAAAACTTTTTGAGAACAATCTTTTATAACTTTCATTAATTCATCATGTTGCTGTTTTTCTGTTAATTCATTCCACCTTTTCATATGAATATGTAAAAAAAAAAAAAAAAAAAAAAAGTTGCAATTAGTTCATTCATGAAAATAATAATATATATATATATATATATATATATATATATATATATATATATAATTAAGTATTTTTTCATTTAAATATATAGTAAAGAAATATAATTATAGAAACTTACGATTTTTTTTTGCTGATATATAACTCCTCTGAATTATCATTTGTACTAGTTTCTGAATCTTCTTTGTTTTGTAATTTAAAATAACTTTTTTGAGGATAAAATAGTCTTGTTTTTAAATCTTGTTTAAGAGACAATACATGCCCATAATCAATAGGAGATATTTCTAATTTTCTTTTCCAGATCATTTTTTTTTGGCATAAATGACGTTGTTTATAAAAAGAGCAATTAAAACAATGGTCTGGTGTAATTATAGCATTTGGCTGTAAACGATGAGACAAAATAATATTGGGATACATAGCAGCAACATCTAGATGATAAATATTGGGGCATATATTTATATTAGGATTCTGAATAAAAAAATTTAGTTTATTTATTATATCAATTTTAATTTTTTCCAAATTCAAAATTTGACTTTTATTAATGTAATTATTATCATTTATTTTGTAGTTTTTATTTAAATCTTTTTGAATCCAAAAATCAAAAATATTATCAACATTATTCATAAGATATTTATATGTTTCTACATCAAGATTAAAAAATTCCTTAAGATCATCTCTATAAATACCACATTTTAAACTTTGAACAGTACCTCCTACAAAAGAATCATCATAAATAAAATATTTTTTTTTACTTTCAGGATCTGTAAAATACTGATTATAAATAGGCTTAGATTTATTTGGAAATAAAATATTTTTTTTATATGCTTCTGCCATTAATAATTGTTCACATAATGTACCACTTCCTTGACGTAATACATTATCAGGATTCATTGGAATAATAGAACATAAAGCAAATAGAAAATTATGAATAAATTTATCATATAAATAAAAAGTAGCTACTGCATCAGAAACACTGTAAACAGCTAAATGTTGAGGATTTTCTTTTGCAATGGGAACCATAAGTTCAGGATCTACTTCTGTTGGATTATATTTTAACTTAATTTTACATACACTTTTTAATGTCCTTGATCCATTAGGTAAATATGAATCTCTTTCAACCCATTTATAAGCATCTATATTTAATATAAAGTTACATGAACATTCTTGTTTGTTGTTCATAACAAAGCCCACTTCTTTTGGAACACTTAAATTATTAATTTCACATCTTCTATATAAATAAGGAATATCAAAAAAATCACCATTATATGTTACAAATATATGTATTCTCAGTAATTTTATGTGTTCTAAAAATCTTTTTAATAAAAAATATTCGTTTTTTTCATTAAAAACTTTAAAACTTCCTGCACCAGAATATTCCTCATTTGGCTTATACAAAAATTCTCTTATATTTTTACTCATTACATTTCGATTAACTATTAGATAACCTTGAGCATTATACATATATGATATTAATATTATTTCATCTTTTTCTTTATCTGGAAATTTTAATTCATCTTTATAACACTCAATATCCCATGCTAAAACATTCAACGGAGCTAATACTTTTTTGTTTAGAACTTCAAAATGAATTAACTCTGTATATAATTCGTCTTCATCTCTTGTTATTTTATACCATAATCCGCATCTTATATTTTTGTCTATACAAATTCTTGTTATATATTTTACATCATATTCATATATTTCAACAATTTCACTCATAATTTCTTCTTTACTTAAAACATGTTTTTTCGTGTTTACTATAATTTCATTCATGTTTAAATTGTTATTTGTGTTTATTAAACCATTATCATATTTTTTGTTTATTTTTCTTTTTTCTTCCTCTTCCTCATCATTTTTAGTACCATATTTTTTTTTTTGTGCCTTTTCATTCTGCTCTTCATATTTGGTATAAGAATAAGAATAATCATTTTTGCAAGAAAATTCTAATTTACTACAAGACAATTCATCTTCATTGAAAATGTGTCTGTCATAATTAGAATTGTATTCCTTTTTATTCTTTTTATTTCTTTCTATTATTTTTGAGAGAAAATCTCTAGCACTCATTAAATTATCGATTGTATCAAATGATACCTTAAAAAATATATTGCTTAAATAACTCCTTTTTCTATTTAAATGATCATATAAACTTAAATCCTCTTTTTTTATATATTCAATCTCTACATTATACTTGTCTAATTCTTTTTTTAAAAATTTTGTTACTTCTTCATAATTGTATATATTTTTTGTCTTCAGATAAAAATAAGGACGATAAAATAGGGTCAATCTCCATGTCTTGTTATTATCTGACACAAAATACAGGTGAACACCTATAAAAAAAAAAAAAAAAGATAAAAATATGATATGTGAGAAAATATAAAAAAATATAAATATCTTATTATACATGAGAGTATTTTGTGTAAGATATGATATATAAATTATTACCTGTTTTTTTTTGGGATTTGTTAGCATTTTTTATAACTACATTCATTGTTGTTGGAACGATGTTATATAAATATCCTTCTCTTTGTCCTTTATTTAGCCAACATTTTATATTAAACTTATTTTCTAGTTTTACTAGTTTCTCATATTCATAATCAGCATTTATTTTTGATTCCCTTTCCCATCCTTTTGTCCTGTTTTGTGTTGTCATTTTTTTTTTTTTTTTTTAGAATTAGAGAGAAAAAAAAAAAAAAAAGAAAAAAGAGGGATATAATATTTATAACACACAATGAAGAAAGATAGAATATGAATCTTTCATTTTTAAAACATAATAAAAAAATGTTTATAAAACAACGTAACTTGATATTAAGTATAATTTAAAAAAAATTAAAATTAATATTAAAGAAAATACATTAGAAAATATAAAAATGAAAAGTAATAAAAAAAGAAAAAAAACCTAAAAATCGATAAATCTAAAAATTCAACTTTACATCAGAAAAAAAAATATTTCTAAAGAAATGTGAAAAACAAAAAGATATTAAAATCTTTTAGTTTTATAATACAAAAAAAAAAAAATATATATATATATATATAAATGTATATTTATATACAAATATTATATTAAAAAAATTATCTTTTTTTTTCTATACATAAATTTTTTCATGTTATTTTTTAATAAATAAATGGTTTCATAATGGTAAACTATAAAAACGTAAAATATTTATTATCATTTTGAAAGTTAACTATTTAATGTGTCTATTAAATTAGTATTTTAAATAATTTTTTAAAAATATGAAAAGAAATTAATAAAATAATAATTAATTTAGCCTTAATTCTTTAGTTTTATTCTTGTTAATATAAAAATAAAAATTTATAGAAATATGTGAAACAAATAACATTCTTAATAAAAAAAAAATTATATTTTCTTCTAGAATAATAATATATAAAAATAAAAAAAAAAAAGACAAGGAATACAAATAATTTTTTTTTTTTTAAATATATTATGTATTATATAAAAATATATAATATCTATTAATATATAGAAATGTAGGATAAAGGAAATCCATGAAAAGTGAAAATGCGCAAAAAATTTTCCTTTTTATTTTTGTAGTTTTAACAAGTAAAATGTGTTAAATAAATATTAAAGCTCTTCTTTTTTTTTTTTTTTTTTTTTTAATTTTAAATATTTATATTTTATAAAACAAATAAAATTATGTAATATATTTATGTATTATAAAAATTTTAATTGAAAAGTTTCATGTATTTTATCGAAGTTTTCATACGTACGTATTTTTAAAATATATATATATAATATATATAAAAATGGAATTATTTTTTATTTATTTTTTTTATTATCTTTTTATGATATATAGTTAACGCAATTTTTTCTATACTTTAATAAGGATATATAATAATAAAAAAAAATCTAACTTAAATGTTCCTCTAATTTTGCATACATATTATCTCCTTTTCTATATTATTTTTTTTTTTTTTTTAAATCCTTTAAAGAAAAAAATGTTAAAAAAAAAATTCAAAAAATATTAAATTAAGGAAAAAAAAAAAAAAATTTTCGAAGAAAATTTTTCTTAGTGATTAATTGAAAAATATTTACTTTAAGAAATCTCATACAAGAAAAAATATCATGTTATTTTTATACATGTAATATATTTAAAAGTTATAATAATTACTTTATATATTTTAATTAAAATACTTATTAATTTTATTATAATTAATGTAATACTAAAATAATTTTTTTTGTTTAAATATTTTTATTAATGATATTATATAATTATTTAAATATCTAGATAAAGACATATATATATATATACGAAAAAGATAAGAAACTAATATATACTAACGAGAAATAACGTGTGTAAAAATAATTTTTTTTATACTTGATAATACTAAAACGTATGAACTATTCCAATATAAAAAAAATATATGGATAATTCCTGAAATTATATTTAACAAAATAAAAGCTAGAAGCAAAACAACATTTTGCTTTTTTTTTTTTTTTTAATCGCATCATATTGACAAAAAAATAAATTTTATTATTAAATATATAGGATCATGTATTTTTTATTATTTCAGAAATAGTTAAAAAATTACATAACTTATACTGAATACATCTTAAGTAAAATTCTTGAAATGTATAAAGTTTTTTTAAAGTTTTCAGTTCTATTACAATTATTAAAGAATAAAAATATAGTGTGTTTTATATATACATACTAAAGAATTTTAACCAAGTTCTTAGTTTTGATTTTTAGGAGAAAATAGTTAAATTTTTAAAATATAACTTAAAAAGTTTATTTTTTTACTTTTTCCATACAAAATAAAAACTACACATTTTTATAATTTTTAAAAAAAAGAAGATTATTCAAATATATATATCATATTTAAAATGTAAAATGAAATAAATGAAAAATGAAAAAAAATTAATCTTTAAGAATAAAGAAATAAAAATTTATATGTAAAAAGAAATTTTGAAATCAAAAAATTTCGAAATAATAAATTTTAACTAAATAGCAAGTAGCATAATAAGTAGCAAATAAAGCATACACATACTAAAAAGTATTCAAATAATATTTACAAATATATAATTTACAATAAAAATACGTACATCATAATTGAAAACAAAAAAAAATTAAATAAATAATAATAAAAGAAAAAAAAAAAAAAAAAAGCAAATGAAGTAATAAAAATATTATTTCCTAATACATTTGTAAGATACCAAATTCTTTTATCTAATGTATTAATTGGAAAAATGGAAAAAAAAAAGAAAATAAACAAAACAAAAAAAAAAAAAAAAAAAAAAAAAAAAGTGAATAATATTAATTAGAAATTAACCATACACACTTATTCCTTTTTCATATTTTTTAATTTCACAAATTTCGATATTATTTACAAATAAACTATTTAATTTAACATCTTAATTTTTATAAATTTGAAGTGGTATATATATAAAATTTTTCTGCAAAGAATATAATTAATAACATTTGCATATGTACACGATTTTTTTACATATCATATTATTAACAAATAATAATTACAAAAATATATTAAATTTGTATATATATCATATTTTAGCTAATTTTTTTTTCTCCTTTATTATGTAAAATTTATTTGAATCCATAACGTAGTATTTCTTAATATATATTATTATTACATATACTACAAATAAAATAAATAAAAATTCAAAAAAGTATAAAATATATTTGTAAAAATAATTTTTTGGTCTGATATGTCCTAAATAATGATAATTCATAGAAGGTAAAATATAATGACTGTATTCTTTTCTTAAATTATCTGATATATCTAATTTTTGTTTATTAGAACTATGAAGAATATTCTGTTTATTGTTATTTTCATTAGATTCTGAATTTTTTTTCAAATTATTTGTACTATCAATATTATTTTTGCTATCAGAAAAATTTATCTTATCTTTTTCAAAAAATATGAATTCTTCATTATCATATGGTTTACTTTTCATTTTATGTAATTTTTGCATAATATTTTCATAGTAACTTAAGATATTTAAACACTTATTACTTAATTGAAAAAAATTTTCCTTTAAACATTTATAAACTTTTGAAAATTTTGAATAGTCAATGCAATATAGTAAAAAATCATCAATACAAGAATATAATAATGAGTTGTTTAAAGATTTTTTACAGCTCTCTGATAAATCCTTCTTATTTAAAGTTATACATTTTATTACATCTTTATCACAGTTATAATTTTTTATATCATTTTCACATCCTTTTATGGGTTGTGTTTTATTTAAATGGTGTGTAATAGTATTATTAATATCAGGATCATATATGTTTACCAAATCTAAAAAGTTATTCGTGTCACTATTAAAGCTATCTATATTCCCATCAGGAATGGTTATGGAATAAAATGAAAAATTATATGGAATAATTTGTGATAACATGCTTGTTAATAAATTAATATCATCTATATCAGATTCGTTTCTTTTTTTTCTTTTGTTTGATTTATTATTCTCATTAAATTTCAAATGGTTACTCATATATATCTCTGATTTCATTATATTATCTATAAGATCTTCACTAAAGTGAGTTATATCAATATAAGTACAAATAGTTACTTTTTGAAGTAACAAAAACATATAAAATACAACTACTAAAAAAGATACTTTGACTACTTTTTTCATTTCTTATATTATCCTTTTAATAATTTTTTTTATATTTGTAATAAATAAATAAAAATATAGAGTTAAAAATATTATCAAAACAAAATATATAATACAAAAAAAAAAAAAAAAAAAAAAAAAAAAAAAAAAAAAAAAAAAAAAAAAATTATCAAAGACAGGTTAATTTCCTATTAATTAAAATAAAGCTTTTAAAATTTTTTTTTTTTTTTTTCTTTATTAAAAATACAAGAGTAAATAATTTAAATGTATTATAAAAATAAACTAATGTTATATATAATATAATTTTTTTTTAATGTACAAATTATTTTAATGAGAGTAAATATATATAATAAAATATGTATGCTACTTATTGTTTATAGAATATTTTATAAAATAGTATAGAAAAAAATACAAAAAAATACAAAAAAAAAAAAAAAAAATAAAGAAATACTTATAAAAACGAAAGTAATATATTGGCTAGCTAATTAAACTAATAAATAAAAAAAAAAAAAGAATAAAGGTATAATTACTAGAAAAAAAAAGAATTTATTTTTCAAAAAAAAAAAAAGGAAAATGTAAAAGAAATCTTGCTTAAAATGGAAATAATAAAGAAATTATAATAACAAAAAAAAAAAAAAATGTACTACCAAAAAAATATTTTTTATTTTTGTGAATTAAATACCTTTTCAATTTGAAAAGATTTCAATAATATGTTTCAATTTTGCACAAAATGAGAATAACACAATATTGATTGCAAAAACTTTTTTATGGTTATTTCCACTATTTTCTTATATTATTTTGCAATTAAAAATATGAAAATAAAAATAATTTTAATTTGTTTTATTTTATTTTATTTTTTTTTATTTTGAAACTTGAGAAATTATTTTATATAATTAAGTCTCTCAATAAATTACATAGAATATTATCTTATATTGCACGTATATGAAAAAAATACACATATATAAACAATAAAAAATATATAAAAAGGAAAGAAAAGAAATGGAATATAATAAAAAATATATTTTTTTTTATTGTTATATATTATAAATAATATCTCTTTTATCTTAGTGTTGCGTAAAAAAAAAAAAATTTTCAAACAACGAAAATTAATAAATTACTTTTTATACTTTAATGTAATAATTTAGTATGACAACTCTTAAAATTTTAAAATTAATAAACATGTTCTTTTAATTAAAATATAGCTTAAAATTTAAATAACTTTACTAGTTACTTATTATCTTTAAGAAGAAAAATTTTTTTTAAAGTATTTTTAAGTTATATATAATTTGTTTTTAATGAATAGTAAGACATAAAAATTACCTAATAAACAAAAATCAGAAGTATACATAATAATAATTTAATTACATTGGCGTTTTTTCTGTCTTAAAATTATGTGAACTTTTATAATTTTAATTAATAATTAAAAAAAGTAATATATGGTCTTACAAATTGATAAAAATATGTTTTTACATATTTAAGTTGTATGATTTACAAAATTTACATTTTCACAGTTTAAGGCTAAAAGAAAAATAAACTGAGAAAAATGAAAAAAAAATTTCTGCGCATATAATGAAATATTTAATGTAGGATTTTTTTATTGTTTATTTGTAAATCTAATAAAGAAAAAAAAAGGAATTATAAATTTTACAAAAAAATTTAAAATTAAGTAGATTATTATTTAAAATAAATTAAAAAATTTAACTCCAAAAATATAAAAAAATAGTTTTACTATTTTTTCTTTAAAATTATTTTTATTAATTTTTTTATTATATTTTTAAGAGATGTTAAATAAATAATTAATATAAAAATAAAATATTTTAAGAGCTTTAATCATTAAAAAAAAAAAAAAATGAAATAATTTTGCTTTTTTAAAAAAAATGAAAAATTCAATTTATTGGAATGTTATAGATGAACTCTTTTTCATTTCATTAATAGAATAATAAAAGAATATATTTTTTTTATATATTCATGAAAAATAAAATAAGTAAAAATGTTTTTCTTTTAAATGATTCCATAACTAAAAAAAAAAAAAGAGGAAGTTAAGTAATGTTAAAAATAAACTATATGATAGGGTTGTATTTTTAATAAAGAAAAAGAAAAAATAAAAACAAAAAGTTAAAAATAATATACGATGAAATCTTTATAATTTTGATAAAAAAAAATTAAAAATATATTTAAAAATAATTCAGAAATGATGCTTTAACAAAAATTGCAAATATATAAGATATATAAAAAAAAAAAATAAAAAATAATACATATTATAAAATATATTAAGAGCTATATGAAAAATTTTTTATTTTTTTTTTTTTATAACAATAGAAATAAATATATTTAAGAAGAAAATTACAAAAAAAAAAAAAAAAAAAATTGAGAATAATCAACATTGAAAAACCAAAAACAAAGTTTAAATTACTGGATAAAATGAAAAATATTGGTGAAGGAGAGGAAATAATAGATAATAATATTATTAGTGATAATGATTACAACAGTGATACAAATTTCTCTTCAAATGAGAATAACAAATGCGAAAAGCAAATACAGATATGTTTTATATCTAATTTGAAAGATGATAAATATAAAATTGAAAACAACATTTATACAGTTCCAGTTAGTTTTAGGAGAATAGATTTATCTAGAATGATAAAAAAGTTACTAAATATAAAAGAAAATATTTCTTTTGAATTTTTAATAAATAAAAAAATACTAAGATCTTCGATAGAAGAATTTTTACAACTTAATAATATATTATCAGAAAATGTCATAGAAGTAGAATTTACTATTCCTATAACAAAAAAAGAAAGTAAAAAAATTGATAATATTTCTGAATGGATATCAGAATTAATTATAATTGAAAATACATTACATTGTAGTACTTTTGAGGGGAATATATTATATTATGATTTGACAAATTTTAATAAAATATATGAAAATAACGTATCGAACATGCCCATATTTTCTTTTAATTCATTTAAAGATAATAAACTGGGTAGTAATTTATATCATGAGTCTATTATTGGATTGTCCAATGGAACAATAAAAATATTTTTAAATGAAGAAATAAATAAGGGAATAAAGACAAAAAATCAATTATATTTAAGTAATCATGATGATATGATTAAATCTATAGCTATTAATAAAGATGCTTCATTAATAATAAGTGGAGGAACTGATAATAAAATAAATATATATGATAATAATTATATTATAGAAGAATTAAAACAATTTAAAAGTGATAATAATAACAAAAGAAAGAAGAAAAATGTAATACCACCTAAAAAATCTATACATAAAGAATCAGGTATTATAACAAATTTAAATTTTTTTGATAATATTAAGTTTTTATCTAGTGGTTTTGAAAAAAATATTAAAATTTTCGATGTAACAAATGGTAATATAGTTTCTTCATTTCCATATAATAAATCTATAATACGTAGTGATATTATAAACAAGAACTTATTTATAATAGCTGACGAAAATTCTTTAATTAAACTATTTGATATAAGATGTTTAAATGAAAAATCAGTAATATCTTTAAATGAAAATAAATATTATTCTCATGATAAAATAATAACTTCTCTTAAAGGAAATAAAAATGAACTATATTTTTTATCATCATCTCATGATGGATATATTAATATATTTGATATTAGATTAAATAAATTACCTGTTTATACTATTGAAAATGAAAAAAAAAAAATTCTTTCATGTACATGGTTTTATAGAAAAAAAAATCATTCTATTATAAGTGCAGATGAATATAATATAAATATCCACAATTTTTAGCTTAGAAAAAAAAAAAAAAAAAAATTATAATAATAAAACATTTGTGATTCATTTATGTATATGTATTCCCCTTTCTTATTTTATTTTTTTTTTTTTATTCTAAAAATTTTGACTAGACATAAAATTATACGCAATATATAATCGTTATTAATTTTAATTAATTCTTTTTTTTTTTTTTTTTTTAATATTCTTCTTTAAATGTTATTTGAAATGAAATTGAGTAAAAAAAATTATAACATTATATTTTATAATTGATATTTTCCCAATAATTTGCTTCACACTTTTTATTATATATATAAATATATATTTATAATTGTTTGTTTCTGAAATATTTTATATATATTGAAATTTATTATATTTTTAAATTTTTATTTTTTATTTTTTCTTAAAAACATTTATGAAAATTATATTTTTGTATATATAGAATATTTTAAATATTAAGTCTTTTCAATTTTCTTATATAAATTTATCATCTTTAATGACTTATTTTATTTTTTTTATTTTAAAGAATCATTATAATTAATACTTTACACTGTTATGTAAATAATATTTTTAAAGCTTTTTAACAATAAAATATCAAACACATATTTTAATGGATTTATAAATCATGAACTAGAAGTAAAAAAAAAAAAAATAAATTACTTTATATAACATTTCCAATTAATATAATTTTTATTTATGTAATATTTATTTGTTAATTTTAAAAAAATATTAATCTTCCATTTTTTTTATCTCTATATTTAATAAATGATTAAAATTATAATTTTGTTAAATAATAAAAAAAACTGAATGTTCAATATTCTTTTATTTAAGGAATTTTCTTTAAAAAATATTTAACACTTGTTTAACTTAAAAGTTGAAACATATTAAGCTTATTAATATTTTATTTCTTAATATTGTTAAAAACTAAAAAGAACGGTATAATTATTTTTGTTTATATTAAAAAAAATATAATATATATGTACAAAATAGAAAATATATGCATAGATATTAATGAAATTGTAGGATTCAAATAATTATAAAAAAAATTGAAGCATTATTATTTTTAGAGGAATATATAAGTAGAATTAATCTTTATATTATTTTAAAACTAAAAATAATAATGAATATTTTTTCGTAACTCAAATTTAAGAATTTAGCCTGATTTTTTAAGTAGATGGATTAAGAAATACTAGTTTGCCATGAAAATAAATAATTCAAAATTCTGAAAGAAAATTTATGAAAATCAAGAAAAAACTCTATTTGGATTTTTTTCTAATAATATATATAAACAACATTCAAAATCTTATTTATAAAATTTTTTCTTAAAAAAACAAAAAGACAGTGCATATTTTATAAATATATCTTTTTCTCTTTTCGTTTAATTTATGAATAGCTTGCTCAATTCTTTGTTCTTTTAATTTTTTTTTTAAATATCTTTTGAATAGAAAAAACGTTTTTAATGATTAACTTTAAAAAATGACAAGTTTATCCACAAATTTTTTATATATGTTTTTTAAAAAAAATTTAAACGCATTTCTACTTTTTAAAAAGGTTTCTTGTATATTTAAATAAATTATGTTGCAAATTTATTAAAAACGAAAGATATGTAATATTTTATGTTGAAAGAATAATGTGAATTTTTCATGCCTAAATATATTTATATTTAAAAAGAAAAAAAAGGAAATTTTTAAAAATCTTAAAATAGTGGAACATTATGTTAATCTTCATTTAACATCAAAAACTGCAAATATATTTTAATTCTTCCTTTATAAATTTTATCTATCTATTTCTATTTTTTTTTTTTTTTTTTTACTTCAAATATATATTTTCCTTTTTAATTTTGTTGTCTTCATTTTTTTGGAAGGTAAAAATATTAAATTTAAAATAAAATAAAAAAATAAAATCTGAAAATTTATTATATATGAATAGAATTTTTATTTTTTCATACAAGATTTATTATGGTGATTTTGTCATAAAAGCAAAAAAGCTAAAAAAACTTCATATAATAATTAACATATATTTTTTATTTTTGATATAAATTTTTAAGTTTATATATATTACTTCAATCTAAATTATATAAATTTTTTTTTTTTTTTTTTTTTAAATTAGTAAACTTATAAATTACTATTAATTTATATTCTCTAATATTTTAAAAAATATAAAAATAAAAAAGAATTAAATTTATAATGGTAATTTAAAAGTTTTAACGAAGATTTATTGAAATTTCATGCACACACGCTCATACAAAATAAATTAAAAAAAAAAAAAAAAAAAAAATACATTTTGTAATATATTTTTATTAAACTCATAAGAATAATATAAAATTAAAAGCGATGTGTAAGAAAAAAAAAAATTTAAATAATTATTTGAAATAAGTAAAATAATAAAAAAAAAGAAAATAAAGAAGCATTACAAAAAAATATTGTATTCAAATATAAAAAAATATTTTTCTTTAAAAAAAAATGTACAAACAGTTACTATATATATTTTTTTTTATTTAAAATATTAATAACTTTTCATAAAAATAAAAATATAACAAGTTCAAAATGAAAACAAATGAAGAACTTATACGTAAAGAAGAAGAGGACATTTCAAAAACAATAGCACTATCGTTAGCAGAATATAATGCTTCACAAAAAAAAAATAACGAAAAAGTAAATATATAAAAAATTAAATAAATAATTAATAATGAAATAAATATGATTGAAAATATTTTTTTATCATTCACAGTATAATATTATACTATAATATTTTATATTAATTACAATTATATTATAATGGAATATTGTTTTTATTTTTAATTCAAGTAATTTATAATATAAATTACAGGATTATATCTATATTTATAAAGCGTAAATTTACTCTTAATTATTTTTATATACAAAAAATAAACAAATTCTAAATGTATACTATTTTGTATCTTATTTAGATAATATTAATTTACTTGTTCTAGATAAGAAAAAAAAGAATAAGTTACTCAAATGTCTGAAATTTTATTACAGTTTTTAATTTTTAATCAATACTATCTTAATTTAAATTTCATTTTTCTTCAATATATGTGTATTATCTCTTATAAATTATTTAAAATATATATATTTGTATGTATCACATAAATATTAATCTGAGATTTTCATGTTATCTCTTTTTATTCCTTTTTATTTTTATTTTTATTTTAATTCTATTATTTTTGTAGTATATTGATATATTTTTTTTTTAACTATATATATTACATATTGTTATATCTAATAATTTCACATAATTTGAGTATATATACATTTTTGTTGCTTATATTTTCCTTAGTTCTTTTAATTGTAACACTTTTTAATTTTTAAAAAAAAAAAAAATATATAGATTATTACAAAACTCATATACTTTCAATTATATTATATATATTTTGTTATTACTTTTATTGAACAAATACATAATGTACAAATTCATAAAGTTAAATTATCATCATTTTTTTTTCAAAAACTTTTTTATCATAATTTAGTTATGAATATATATATATATTCTAATTGAATACTTATCATGGTTATTAATTTTTTTGTATAAAACACAAGATAATTACTGTATTTTTCTTACATTAAATTATATTATTTCTTTTTATTATTATGTTGTGTATCTCATTTTTTTTTTTTTTTTTTTTCTTTAGAACTACGAATTAGATGATGAGAATGATGAATTGTTACAAGAGGCCATAAGGTTATCAATTTTAGGTTGTAAGAAAAGTGAAAGCAAAAGTATTGATTTTAACGATAGCTATTATGATATAATAAAGAAACATTTTAATAAAATAACATATTATTTATGTAATAGCTATGAATCAACTAAAAATCAAAATGATATAATTGACAATAAATTATTTTGGAAAGATATATATAAAAATTATAAGAATATATATGTTATTATAAGAGATTATCTCATAAATTTAAATAAGAGAAATGAAAAATTAAACGAAGAAAGTAGTGATTCTACGTCAAGTAGGGATGATTATGAAAGTGATGATTCAAGTGATTGCAGCAATTCTTCGTCTTTGTCATGTTGTTCATTAGAACGAATCAGAAAAACATATAGGAATATAAATTACACAACTAAGGATTACTGCAAATGGTTAAGAAGAGGAAATAGAAGTAAGTGTTTGAATGATCATGTATATTTAAGTTATTTATTAAAAGAAATGAAGTTACTTGAAGATGTTACAAGTGTGCATAATTTAGTTTTTGGTGTGAATAATTATAAATATGCAAATAAATTAGATATAAAAAAATGGTGCAATCATAATTTATCATTTTATGAAAACAAAAATATTAATTTTGGTTTACGCCAATTTTTAAGTGGCCCTTGTGGTCTTATATCAAGTATTCAGGGATATATTATAATTATTTTACTGTTTAATTATAAATATAATTTTTTATGGGAAAATAATTATTTTAATATTTTAAAAACAAATAATGATTTTCTAAATTTTACCAATAATAATGTAAGTGATAAAAAGTCGTCAGATCAAGTAAATAATAATTCTAAAGAAATTAATAGTAAAAATAATTTAGAAAATAATAAAGAAAATTTTGAAGTTAACGGAACAATAATGTCTGAATACAAAAATAATAGCATTCAATCTAATGAAATTAATAAAGAAAATAATATAAATGATAATAGTAAAAATGTAAATAACGAAGAAAACATTAATAATGATCGAAGTGTAAAGAGTGATAAAAATATGAACAGTGATGATAATATAAATAATGATTTGAATAAAAATAATGATGAGAATATAAACAATGATCATACTACGAATAATGACCATAATATAAAAAATGATAAGAATAAAAATAATGATGAAAATAGAAGTAACGGGGATAATTACAATAATAAAAAGCCAAAGTATGAAAAAGATACCAACTTGAAGGGACATAAATGTAAAAATAATTTTACTGAAACAGATTATGATACTGAATTTTTACAATTAGTGCGTGATAATATTAGAGATTTAAAATATTATTCATTAGTAGAATCTTTAGCATATATATTATATCAGTGTACTGATAAATCTTATTATATTATAGCCTTTTTATTACCAGAATGTTATGATTATTATTATTATATGAACAAGAAGAATTCAGACGAAAATGTTATACGTGATTTAAAAAAAATTAATATTTATTATAAAGAGTTTAGTGGAATAAAAGAAGTAATAAAATTTTATTTAGAGCATTTTATTATATTTTCAAGTTCAACAGGTGTTATCTCGTTTTTATATTCTGTTATATTAACAAGAGGAATAAATAATATAAAAAATGATATGGATGATATAAATCATCCATTAATTGGAATATATGGCCATTGTTCTCAAGAATTAGTTAACTTGTTATTAACAGGTAGAGCATGTTCTAATGTGTTTGATAACAACAGTATTATTAATACATTTTCTAATAATGATGCAGATATATGTATGTATGAAAGTAGTAGCCCTTTTACATATAACTTAAATGAATCCAAAGGTTCTAAAAATTTTAATTCACAAAGATCATCATTCAGCAAAAATAATATTGTTCTTAAAGGTATAAACAAAAGACCATTAATTGGTTTATTAACAGATTTTGAAGCATTTAAATACTGTGAAGTTGGTAATTTTTACAAATATCCTATTTACCCTATATGGGTAATTAGCAGTTCTAATCATTACACTGTTTTATTTTCTTTAAACATTCATAATTCAAAATGTACAAGTGAAGAGTTATTTTTAGAAAAATTAAATAAAATATGGAAAAAATATGATAAAGAAAATAATAAATATATTTTATCTCATTTTATTCCTCAATTCTTAGAAGACTTGAATTTAAAAGAAGAATATAAAAATATTTTTGATAGTTTTGTTAACGATTTAGACATTTTATTATATTCTGAATTTAAATCATTTTATTTGCAAATGAAACAAAAAGATATTAATGATCTTAAATATTCAGATCCTCCAAAAGAAAAATATTTTTATTTATATGACGCACAAGAAGCACCAGAAAAATCTATTCATTATTTTCTTTTGAAAGAAGTTGATTACGATGTATCACATGAAAATCATTTGAAATTTTTTAATACAAGGTGGCCAAATAATACAGTAGAGATACTAAATATTGAAAAAAAAATTTCAAAACATAAATATTCTTATTAAACTATGTTTTTTTAAGATATATATAATACATATTCAATAGAATATATAAAGAAATGTATTAATATTTGAAAAATTTTATGGTGGAATTTTATATATAATTCAAAAATATGTGTCTTTAAGAAAAAAAAAAAGGAAATGCAATTAAAATTTTATAACATATATATATGCATGATATTCATTGTAATAAATTTGTTTTATAAATATGCCATGTCTGTAAAATTAAATGTGTGTATTTCCATGTTAATCCCTTTTTTTTTCATAATTATAAAATATATTTTTAATAACAAAATGTTAATACTTTTTTCGTATTTTTTTTTTTTTTTTTTTTTTCCCTTTATTTAATTTAAAAATAGAATTAAATTATTTTAATAAATTCATGAGAAAAGTATGTATAAACATAAAACATAAATGCACATAAAAAAAAAATTATTAATATACATAATTTGTGTTATATTAAAGGTACTTATATATAGCTTAATATAAGATAAAAAATGATCAGTCTTAAAACAGGAAAACGCTTTTTCTTGAAATAAAAAATAAAAATATGAACGGATCATAAATAAGGAGAAACCAAGTATTAAAATAAGTAATATAAAAGAAATTCAAATAATCTCGTAATATACATTTCTTAATAAAAAAGAATTACTCTAATTAATATGTTAAGATAAAAAAAAGGGAAAAATAACTATAAAACATTAGCATATTTCATTATTTTTATATTTATTTAATATATCATAATTAACTAAAATAAAAAAAAAAAAAAGGAAAAAAAATATTTTTCTATTTTAGGTAGTTGTAAATGTTAAATTTACTTTGGTGCTTTATAATTTTCGTTTAAAACGTTTAATATGTTCTATTTTTATATTATTATAATTATTATTATTTGAGAAGTAATAATTTTTAAAATAAATAATATTTTTACTATTCCATTTTGTTTTTTTTTTTTCAATAATTCGTAGAGCCGTTATACATTCCTGCTTTATTTAAAAGTTTTTTCGGTACTTCCTCACCTTGTTATTTCTTCATTTTGTTTAATTATATATTCTTCCTTTTTATTCTTATATATTTTTTCATTATGATTAATTCTTGTGTTCTTAGTATTAATTTATTTTATTTCATTTTAGGTTTTCCTTTAATATAATAATTACAATTAAATTAAAACATAAGGAATTTATTAGAAATAAATAAAAATTTAATAGAAACAACACATTTGTAAAAAGGAAAAAAAATTTTATTTAAAAATAGAATTTTTGATTTTTATTTTTATTTATTATTTTTTTAAAATACAATGCTAGGACTTCTTTTTTATTTAATATAATAAAAATTTTTAAAAATGATAAGATGTTTAAAGTTTTTCATTGTAATATTTCTTGGTATTGTGTTTGTATTTAAAATTGTTAACTATTTGATTATTCATAAAAAAAAAAAAAAAAAAAGATAAAATATAATTAAATAGTATATATATTTAAATTAGCATGTGTATATATATATATGAAGATCTACAAAAATGTATTTATCAAAATTTATGAATTTTTTTATTTTTTTATATTGCTAGAAATATATATAACTTTTTACTGAACAACTTATAAATTAGAAGATTTTTGACAGTTTTATTTTATGTTATTTTTTTTCTGTTTTTTTTTTTTTTTTATTTTATTATAATGAGTTGTACATTATTAAATGGGTATTGTATATCTGAGAAGATTGATGAAATCATATTGGAAAGGATTATAAATGATAAAAATAAAAAATTAAAGGGAAAATTTAAGGAAAAGAAGTTGTTCATAATTTATTCAAAAAATATAGCAAATTATTCATACTTATATATAATTTTAAAGAAGAGTATTTATTTAAACTCAGATGTTATTTTTATACTTATAAGAATAAATAAGGATGTTAGTGAAAATAAGTTAAAAGATATAATACAAAAAATAAGTAGAAAAAGAAGCAATTCATCCATAATAATTTTATCACCTTTAAGTTGCCATATAAATAAGTGTTACATATCTAAATATATTAAGAAATGTAATGATATAGATGGTGTTAATTACAAAACCATTTTAGAATTAATTAAAAGTAGTAATAATATTGTTAGTTATAATATTCCACATAGTTTTTTAACATTAATAAATTATGTGAGAAATTCTTACATTAAAATTTTTAATAAACTACTAAAATTTTTTTTCACATCTTTTTTTTTCCCATTAAAAAAAAAAGAAGAAATTTCGAAAAAAATTGATACTGAAAATAATTCAATAAATAATAAAGTAGCCAAAGCACAAAAAGGAAATTATGAGGCTATAAAAAATATGTTGTTTTGTTATAATAAAAAACAAAATTATGAATATTCAGATGAATCACAGAGGAAGTATGATATATTATTACATAATTATTTAAAAAATATTAAATATAGTATTCCTTGTTGTGTCTATTCAATTCTTTTATTTATTAAATATTATAATATTAATATAAAAAATAAGAATATTTTAATTATAAATAATAATATAAATATATTCTTATCGTTATTTATCCTTTTTTTTCGTAATAAAATTTCTACAATAGTTTATGATGCGGTAAAAGGAAATATTTTATGTAGGTATAAAAAAAATGACAAAAATAAATTTTATTTTAAAATTAATAATAGAAAATTGCTAATAAAAGATGAAGAAGATTTTAAGTCTAAATGCAATAATTTTATGAATTATCATGTGGTTAGTAAAAATCAGAACAGAAAATTTAGTAAGGGGGATATAAAAAAAAATATGAAAAAGAAAATAATTAAATTTTCTGATATAATAATAATTGGTTTAGGGTGTAGCAATATTTTAAAAAAGAAGCATGTGAAAAGAAATGCTATTATTTTAGATTTAGGAATCAATTTGAAATACTGTGAAAATAATAATACAAAGTTTGAATTATCTGAACAAGCAAGAAACAATACTAATAAATATATAAAAGAAAATAATAATGGTAATTTTAAAAATGATACATATGAAAGAAAAGATTATAACTATTTGCAAAGGAATTTTTTATATGGAAATAAATATGTAGTTGCTGCTTGTAATAAAAGAAAAAGAAAAAGTTTATTCTCTTTTAGAAAAACTAAAATAAAATTAAAAGTAGATAACAATACTCTATTACCTAGTAGTACAAATATAAAGTTAAAAAAACATAAAAATAATATATATATGAAAATTAAGGAAAGAAATAGAAATTCATTTTATAAACTCCCAGGGACTATACGTTTTAAAACAAGTTCCATTAAATATGAAAATGTAAATAGATATAAGGAAAAAGGAAAAAGAAAAAATTTTATATACTTAAAAACAAATAAATCAAAATTAGAATTTTCTAATAAATTATCAAAATTTTTAGTAAATTATGAAATTATTGGAGATGTTGATTTAAACTGTAAAAAAAAATGTCAATATATTTCAAGTGTACCAGGAGGATTAGGGCCTATTACAACTTCTATCTTATTTTATAATTTGTATTTTAAAAAAGTATATTAATAAGATAAATAGAATAAAGAAAATTTTTTTGTATTTTTTTTTAAATAATATTTTATAATTTTTATTTTGTATGATCTTTTTAAATGTGTTTTTTTCGTGATTTTAATATAACTATGTCATATATATATATATATATATATATATATATATATATATATATATATATATATATATATATATTTATATATTTATATTTTTAATTCAATTTCTATCAAGTTTGAATTTATTTGAATTATTTTATTTCACAAAATAAGATTTACTATAGCACTTGTTAATTTAAATTAATATATGTATTTATTTATACTATTTTATTAAAAATAAAGAAAATATATCAATAATTGATTAATTTATTAAGAAATTTTTAAAGTATCATAATTTAAAAGATATATAATTTACCTTTTTTTTTTTTTATTTTTTTTTATTTTTTATGCAAAAAATTTATTATATTCCATATAAGCTCTTTTAATTATTTTGAATGTATTTAAAAAAAAAAAAAAAAGCAGAATTATGCTAAAAAATATATATTTTTAATATATTCAACAAAAACAACACATGTAAAAAAATATACAAATATATAAATATATAAATATATATATAAATATATATATATAATTTATAATTTAATAGTATGTGTTATTACTCTTTTTTAAAAGAAAAATATATCTATTTGTAGAATTTGATATATTTTAAAAATGAAGAAATATATGGAAAATTTTTAAATTTTTTCATTTTTTGAATTAAAGCAATTCAGAAAATATAATTTATTGTCAAAAACTTTTTTTTTGAAAAACAATTTTTAGCATTGAGAAGAAATGAATTATGATTACATATGTTTTCAATGAAATATTTTTATTCATTTACTAAATTTTATCACAAAATATAGTATTTCTAAATTTTTACTCTTAAGAGTAAGAAAATTAAATAATATAAATATATTAAATAATATAAATATATTAAATAAAATATATAAATTAAATAGATAAAGTAAAATAAAATTAAAAAATGAATTAATATTCATTTACACAAAAAAAAGAAAATTTTTTTATAACATATATTTCAAAAAAATTGTAAAAAAAAAAAATTGAATAAAAAAGTCCATAAATTAAAATTTTTTTTATAAATGGGAAAAAATAGAGAAAAATAAAATAATTGTAATCCTTATTTTACTTGATTTTTTATATTGAAAGATAAAGGTATGAATATAAAATAAAATTATGATTTAATAATGAAAAGTGTTATTAAAAAAAAATTTTAAAAATAAATAAACAACTATTTTGTATTTTATATACATATTCACACACCCATACATTGATAAATAATTATTATATTTTTTCAATGTAAATTAATTTTTGATTTTATTTTTATTATCTTTTTAATATTTTTATTGATATATATATATTATTTATTAATTATTTTGTATTTTTTCGTCTTTTTCTTTTTTCTAATAGATGCTTGATAATGAGATATTAAGCAAATATGAAATTCACGAAACCTTAGGTATGGGATCTTTTGGGAAGGTTCATTTGGGTATCCATAAGAAAACGAAAATAAAAGTTGCTATAAAATTGATAAATAAAAAAAAATTATTTGATATGAATATGGAAGACAAAATTAGAAAAGAAACGAACATAATGTTAAGATTATATCATAAGAATATAGTAAATTTTTACGAGATAATGGATGTATATTTTTATATAATATTTGCATTTGAATATGTAGAAAATGGAGAATTGTTTGATTATGTTGTACATAAATTAAGATTAAAAGAATTGGAGGCAAAGAAATTTTTTTATGAAATTGTATGTGGAGTTGAGTATCTTCATGATAATTATATTTGTCATAGAGATTTAAAGTTAGAAAACATTTTATTAGATAGAAATTATAATATAAAAATAGTAGATTTTGGTTTATCTAATTTTATGAAAAATGATTTTTTAAAAACTTCATGTGGATCACCTAACTATGCTTCACCTGAGGTTATATCAGGAAAAACTTATTTAGGATGTGAAATAGATGTGTGGTCATTAGGTGTAATTTTATTTGCGATGTTATGTGGTTTTTTACCTTTTGATGATGAAGATATACATGATTTATTTGAAAAGATTAGAAATGGGATTTTTTCAATTCCTGGTCATGTATCTTATTATGCAAAAGATTTAATAAAGAAAATATTAATCGTTGATCCAAGTAAAAGAATTACATTAAATCAAATCAAGAAACATCCATGGTTTTTTATAGATTATAATATTTTAGATTTAATGAGTAATAATATAATAAATTATTATATAGACAAAAAAATTTTAAAATATTTAATAAAAATAGGGTATACATTCCATAAAAATCAAAAAGAAAATAAACAAAATGATTACAATTATAACAATATTTTATTAGATAGAGATGAAGATTGTCATTTTCTTTTTGATAATTATTCTAATAGAAAAAAGTACACAAATAAAAAAAATGTTATATTTTACAATCAGATGGACAACATATATTTTGCACATAAATTATTATATGTTAATAAAATTAATTCTGAAATAAAAAAAAAGAAATATAAGTTAAATTCTTTTTATAATATTTTGCACATATATAATTTAAAGAATTTTTTTTCAATTAAAAATGATGATACAGACAGTGATGATGATAGAACTAGAAACAAAATGTTGTGCTTTAATAAAAATTTAAATTTAATAAAAAAAAAAATAAAGAATAAAATTTCCAGTAGGATGCATACACGTAATATCACAAATAATAATTTAAAATCCAATTCTAGTAATAAGTTAAATCTAATCGAAAATAATACATATTTCTTGGGGACTTTTCAATCAAATAAAAAGAAAACAAATATTCCTGAAAAACCAAATGAATCATTGGAGAAAGTTGAGTATAATGATTGTCATAAAAGTGACTCAAGAGAAACATCTGATGATGATTATACATATAATTTTGAAGAAAGAATACTATTTTATCATAATTATCATAATAATATATACAATTATAATTACTGTTGTGAAAATGAGAAAAATAATGATGTAAATAATTGGAAGTTGGGTATAGAAACTTATTTGGATATTGATAAAATTTTTACAATTATTTTAAATAATTTGGAGAAATTTAATTTCATTGTAAGATTTTTAGATATTAATAAAATCTATTGTTATAAAAAAAAAGAATTAAAAAAAAAACAAGATGTTATGATAGAAAATAATAATAATTATAATTCTTTCAATTCTAACAATTTTATAAAAGATGATTTAAATATAAATAGAATGGAACAACAAGAATTTGAAGAATGTTGTACTTCTTTTTATATGTATATATTTAGTAAACATAATTTTTATTATATTGATTTTTATTCACTTAGTGGGCATCTAATAAGTATGGAAAATTATATATACATATATATATATAATGAATATATTTATATTAATAACTATTGAATTGAAATTAAAAAAAAAAATATATCTTTTATATAATAAAAATAATAATAAATTTATGTAAAGAAAAAAATAAAATAATATTAAATAAGACAAAAAGTATATATGCATATTTGGGTATATTACTTAGATTCAAATTAAATATTAATAAATAAAAATATTTTATTATTATATAAAAAATAATAAAAAGTGCAAAAAAAAAAACATATATATATAAAAAATATTATATTCATCTTTAATTCTTTTTTAATTCATTTAATTTTATTTTTATTTTTTTTTTATTTCTTTAATTTTTAGAGTGCTCATTAGATATTTTAAAATTAAGAAGTAGAATTTATGAAGACATCATTTCTATAGACAAAACGAAAAACTAAATTGTTTTATATAACTTATATGTTTTTATTTACTCATTTATTTTATTTTTTTTTTTTTTTAATGTATTTCCTTGTTTTAAAAAAAAATTTTAGTTTCACTTAACATTTATAATTTTTTTTTTTTTTTTTTTATTATATAATTTCATTTGAAATTTTTTAAAAATAATTTTTTTAGTATTTTTTTTCATAGTAAAGTAGATTAATTTTTTTTTTTTTTTTTTTTTTTTTTTTATATATATATTATTGCACAAACTTAAGATTTAAAATATATCCTTTTTTATATTACCAACATATTTAGTAGAATTCTTCCTATTTTAAAAAAAAAAAAAATGAACTTGAGTAGTAATTTTTTGTCTAAAATAAAGAAAAAGAAAAAAAAAAGAGAAAATCAATTGTTAAATGAAGAATTAAATAAAATTGAAGAAGTATTTACAACACTTATTTTATATTTGTTATTTTCTTACTTTTTTTTTTTTTTTAAGTATAGAAACATTTTTTTTCTTCTTTTTAAATAGAAATGGTTAAAAGGAGATGATAAAAAAAATAAAGGAATCATAAGTTCAGCGAAAAGAGAAGTATTTTTAAAATATTAATTTTATATAGTAGAAAAACAAATTTTTTTTTTTTTTAAATATAACAACAATAAACAAAATAACATATATGATAAAATATAATTATGAGACATCTACAAGAAGAAAAAAAAAAAAACAAGATAGTTAAGCGAAAATATTAAGTACACTACCTTCTGTTTTACATATTCTTTTTGTTTTTCTTTTCAAAGGAAATTTTAGAGTTTATACAAAAACAAGATGAATTTAAAAATATTAAGAAAATTTCCATTGATCAAAAAGAAGTATAAAAAATAAAATGAGTTAAAAAATTTTCATAAAAGAGCTAAAAATGTATAAATGTTTCCATTTTATAATATTTATTGTGCTACAGGAAGAGACGACAAATAAATCATCAAGAATTATTAAGAATGATAATGACTTATTAAAAGAACTACAAAAACAAATTGAAGAAAAAAAGTTAATACTTAAAAATTTTTGCTACATAATATATAGAAATTATTATATATGCACGATACAATTTGAATCTACATATATAATTAAAAATTACACATTTTATTTATAATATTATTCTAAATTTATAAACCTGAAAGATTGAGACAAGAAAAACTAAATGAAGAAAATATCAAAAGAGAAGAAATTGAAACGACATATTTGTCAGAAATTGAAAAGAAACAAAAAGAATTAGAAAAAAATATTATTCTAAAAAATAAAGAGAGTGCATTAATAATAAAAAATCAAATTCACGAAAATTATGTATATAAAAATATTAAAAAAGAAAATTATTATAAAACATATACATAAATACCTTAATTTTTTTTATGATTACTGAATATTTTTATGTTCCAATAGCTAAAAAAACAAGAAGAAGAAAGATTAAAAATCATAGAAGGAAAACGAATGCAAAAACAATTTGAAAAAAGTAAAATTGAAGAATTAGAAAAAAGACAAGAAAAAATTATGGAACAAAAAGTACTTTACAATTATATATTAGAGAGCAATAGAAAACACATTGAATGTAATATAGAAAATTTGAAAAATTAATCAATATAATAATTTATACATATTATTAATTAATTAAAAATAAACATATAGAAATAATATTTCCTTCAACCATTTTCCTTCTTCTCTCTATAAGTATATATATTTATATAATATATATTTTCCTTTTTTAAAAATAAGCTTCAAATGAAAAAAAAAAAGAGGAGAAAAAAAAAGATGAAGAGTAAAAAAATTAAAAAAAAAAATACTGAAATAAAAAAAAAAACTTTTTATTCCCATATTAAATTATCAATATTAAAACGAAAAAAAAATTATAGATATGTAAGATATCTGGAAGAAAAAGAACAACGAGAGAAAGAATATGAAGAAAAAATAAAAAAGGAAAAGGAAGAAAAAGAAAAAGAAATCCATGAAATACGAATGAAACAAAAAAAAAATGTTGAACTGCTAGCTCATTTTGATGATATTCAAGCAATGAAGTAAAAATATATAGAAAATAAATATATATAATAAAATATTTTACATTTTAATTTAGTTTTACATTATATTAAATTTGTTATGTAACTTAAAATCTACCTAATTTTTATTTGAAGATGGCAAAAAGAAAAAAAAATTAAAGATGAACAAAAAAGAGTTTTAGAAGAAGAAGAAAAAAAAAAAAAGATAGATGAATTAAATAATGCAAGATTAATTGCGCTGGTTAATAAATTTACTTAAAAATTGTTATATAACAATACATATGTATATCAATAAAATTATTTTTCCTTAAAATTTTTTTCTGTCTAAAAATATCTTATAGATGGAAAAGAAGAAAAAAAAATTAGAGCAACTAGAAGAAGATAAAAAAGAGGCCGAAAACTTGAAAAATATATACGATCTTTATGTATTTATATTTGAAAAAAAATAAAATTAATTCTCTAATATATTCATATATATATATATATATATATATATATTTATTATATAGGAAAAAGAAAAAAAGGAAAACGAAGAAAGAGAAAAATTGAAAAAGAAAAATTATTATGAAAGTTTAACAAAATTAGTCAATTTTAAAAAGAAAAAAAATCATGTAAAAAAATAAGAAACATGAATAATGAGAAATTATAAATTTAATATGAACATATATCAATAAATTGTTATACAAATGTTAATACAATAAAAAATAAAAAAAATAAAAAAAAATACATAATTTTGTTTTAATTATTAAAATAATAAAAATTAAAAATTTAAAGGTATAATAAAGTTAGATTTGTTTTCATTTATTTAAATTTCTTTTTTTTTATATTTAATTTTAAATTTAAATCAACTTTTGGTGGTACTTCTAATCCAAAATTTTTGGAAGCCAAAAGTAAATTCAAATTGTTTACATCAAAAACATCCTTCAATGCGTAAGTAATATAACTCTAAAAAAAAAAAAAAAAAAAAAAAAGATAATAATTATATAAAAATCATGAAAAACAAAATTATACAAAGATGTATATATTAATATTTTTGTTTTTTTTTTTTACATTTAAATATGCTTTAAAAGCTTCTCTAGCCATTTTGTGTAAATGAAAATTTTTTGTAACAATCGATTGAATATGTGACTGTATATTTATAATTTTATTTGTATCATAAGCAAATTGATTTATTGGTATGTTATAAAATTTTAAGTAGTTTAAAAACTTTAATTCATGTTCCATTAAAAATATAATAGCTGATCCATTGGAATTATTTCCTCTACAAGTTCTTCCAACTCTATGAATATATTCTTTTGAATCATCAGGTGGATCGTATTGAATAATGTAATTAACATTGGGTATATCTAACCCCCTCGCAGCTACATTAGTACATAATAAAATACCACTTTGAGCACTTGAAAAATCATGAAAACTTTTCAAGCGTTTATTTTGTTTTTTTTTACCATGAATGCAATATGTTGGAATATCAATGTAATTTAGTAAGTCATTATAAAATTGAACTGACATACAATTATTAAAAAATACCATTATTTTTTTTGATAAATTTCTTTTTAAAAAAGTAAATAACAAAAGAAATCTTTTGTCTTCTTCAACTAAAGCATATCCTTGTTGTAATCTTTCCACAGTTGCTATTTTTGTAGTTACTTCTATGAATATAGGTTTTTGTAAAGAAAGTCTAATCAAACTTTCCACTTTAGTTGTCTGAGTAGCTGAAAATAAAGCAGTTTGTCTTTTTTTTGGTAATCTTTTTATAATTAAATTAATTTCTTCTTCAAAACCAATTTGCAATAATCTATCAGCTTCATCAATAATTAAACATATCAAATTTTTATATACGAATTCTTTTGTGTTTTGCATATGGTCTAATAATCTTCCAGGAGTAGCAATCAAAATATTTATACCATGAACAAATTTTTTTTTCTCTTCATTTCTGCTCATACCACCAATAATAATACCATTAGTTTGAGGTATATACTTACATAAATCTTTACAAACTTGATATATTTGAAGACATAATTCTCTTGTTGGTGATATAATTAAAACTCCTGTTCCATTTTTAGGTAAAAATTTTATATTATATAGGATATGGATAGATGGTATAAGAAATGCTAGGGTTTTTCCTGAACCTGTTTTAGCTGCACCCAATATATCCTTACCATTTAAAAAATGAGGAATACATTTTGCTTGAATTTCTGTCAATTTAACAAAATTTAAATCTTTCAACCCTTTTTTTAATGCATCACAAATATCTAAATCTTCAAACTTTACTTCACTATAAAAGGTTTCTTGTGTATTTTCTTCATGTGATTTAACTTCTATTTTCTTTTCATTTTCAAACTTTTCTATTGATGTTTCTGAATCATTTTTTAATTCATTTAATGAATTAATTTTTGAATCCTTTTTAGTGTCATTGGATTTACCTTTTAAATCGTTTAAACTATTTTCTATAATATTTGAGCATTTTTCAGAATTAGTATTATTAGTATTTTCCAATTCTATATTGATCTTCTTTTCTTTTTTTTTTTTTAATTTTTTTTTTTTAATTTCTTTTTTTACTTTATTAAGATTATTTTTATTTTTTTTGATTTCAAAAATCTTCATTTTTTCATCTTTGACTTTTTTTATTTCTTTAGTATTATTCTCATTATTTTGAAATATTTTATTCTTTTTCTCTTTTAATATACTTTTTTTTTTGTTTTTTTTATTCTTCTGCTTCCTCTTAATTTTATATTCCAAACAAGCCATCTTTTGCAAAATTGAAATTAATTTTTATATTATTCAAAAAAAAAAAAAAAATTAATTTAGAATACTAAAAAGATAATGGTAATTCTTAATTATTGAAATTTATGTTTTTAAAATACTTTCATTTTTTTAAACAAACTAATTCAATTTTTATTTTTATTTTATTAAAAATAATATTAAAAAAATTTTTTTTTTTCAAGTTTTAAATAAAAAAAAAAAATGTAGAAAGCGTCAAAAAAAAAAAAAATTTAGAACAAAGATTATTCAGATATAAATTTTTTTTTTCTGTTAAATATTTATTATAATTTTGCTTAATTTTTTTTTTTCATTCATTTAAATTTTTGAATATTAATTAAAAAATTTATTTAAACAATATTATGATTTATAATTCTTTAAATTGATGATTACATTTTTTATTTTTTAAAATTGCTAAAAAAAAAAAAAAAAAAAAAAAAAATTAAAAACGAAAAATAAATTGAATAAAACAAATTATTAGTAAAAATATTTAGAAGATATATTATTGTTTTAATTTATATTTGTAATTAGTATATATATTGTAATTAATATTAAAAAAAATGTATTATTAAATGATAAACTAAAATTAAGAATGATACCAAAAGAATAGTTTAAATGACTTTCAAAAGTAACTGAAAATTTTGTAATATTAGTATGGAATATATTTTTTCTATTTTATTATTATTAAATTAAATAATTTGTTAAAATGAAGAAAATTTTATTTAATTTTTATTAAGGAAAAACTGAAATGACGGAGTTATAGAAATTGATTTTTCCAAAAAAAATATTTACTAGACAAAAATTCCATTTTATATATGAAAATAAAAAAAAAAATATAGAAAATTAAGAAATTTTTTTTTTAAATTACTTATTTTTAAATAAAAATAAATATGAGAAAATGTTTAATTTTAAGGAAAATAATTTTATTAGCTCTTTTTTTTTAATAATTAAAATAAATATATTATTCATATTTACAACTGTTTTGGGTGGAAATAGAGGACAAAATATTAAAATTTAAATGAAACGATTAAAAAAATAAAATAATAATTTTTTAATTGAATAAATAATCTAAAATATATTAAATAATAAAATAAATGAATATAATAAATTAATTGGTAAATATATGTAAATGATTAAAAATGTTTTTTCTTAAATTTGAAAGTGTGTTGTTTAAACAAAAAACTTTAAATTTCTATAGTTTCCAATAAAATACCAAAAAAAAAAAAAATTATAAAATATATTTTAATTATAGAATATGGTAGATCTTTTATTAATCTAAATATTTTAAATAATAGATATATAATTATAGTTAATATAAAGTTGTGTTGTCCATTATTTAGATTTTTTTTTTTTTTTTTTTTTTGTAAATCATATCAATGAAAACTGCAAATATGCACTTAATTAGAAAAACTTGAAGCATAAAAAATTTAATTTAAAAACTTTCCAATCTTGAAAAAATATGTATTTATTTAAAAAAGATATTTTTCAAAATAAAAGCATATGCAAATTTTCAATTTATTTCTATTACAATTTAATAATATTAGTTTACCTATTTTGTTTTCTTTTAACATTTTAAGAACATATATGGCATTATAAATGTATTTAATTTGAATTCCAAATATAATTTTTTTTTTTTTTTTTTTTTTTTTTTTTCCTGATCAAATAATATTTTTTTGCGGTAATTATTTAAAAAACAAATATCTTCTTTTTATATATTTTTAATAAAAATATTTAATTATGAAATTAAAAAAAAAATATATTTTCTTTTTATAAATTTTAATCTTTAAATTTTATTATTAAAAAACTAAAATAAGTTTATGCATGCCTTTTCTTTAAATAACTATTCATAATTATAAGAAAATATAAAAAAAAAATTTTATTTGAATAATAATAATATTATATATTTTTAAAATATTAAATCAAATATATAAGAAAAGTTATAATCAAAAGATTATTAAGTTTAAATAGGATTTATATTATAATAAGTTTTTATTTTTAATAAAAAAAGTAGTAAGTGATATCATATTTTTACGAAACATGGGAGGATCTGCTAGTAAGAATTTAGAATATTACAATTATACAAGTATGAGGCTTTTGGATACAGAAAATTATGAGAATGAAGAAGAATATTTTAAAGAACATGATGTTGAGGAAATAATTAGAAAAGCAAGAGAAATAAGAAGCTATAATTTTAAAGAATCACTTGATTTATATTTTAAATGCCTAAAAATTTTGAAAAAATTAAAGGATGATAACTCAAGAATATATAAAAATGTGCTTGAATTTGAAATAAAACCATTAGATATGGCTAACAAATCATTGAAATTAGATCCACAAAATTTGGGACAAAAAAATAAACGTTATGATTCAAGTTCATCAATTACTGTTGATAATGTTTCAATAAATAAAAAAATTGCATCATTGTATAATGAAATAGGTGATTTATGCTGTATGCATGATTTTATAGATAAATCTCTGTTTTATTATGATAAAGCTTGTTCTTATAATCCTTCAAAAGTAGATTATATATATAAGAAAGGAGTATTATATCAACAGATGAATGAAACTGAAAAAGCCATAAATACATTTAAACGTATCCTTTCAACTGATGAAAATCACATACCTACCTTATTTTCTTTGGGTAATTTATATAGATATATTGATAGCAATATTGCTCTTGCTTATTTTGAAGCAATACTTAAAAAAGAACCAAATAATACAGAGGTTTTATCATTAATTGCATCGTGTTACGATAACTTAGGAAATTTAAATGAAGCAATATCTTATCAAAATAAAGTTGTACAAATAAATCCTGATAATTTCAATCATAAAAAATTTGCTCAAAGGTTGATAGAAATGAAATTACAAAATTAAAAAAAAAAAATTTTTTATCATTATAATTATAGTATTTTTTTTTTTTTTTTTTTGTGAATTACGTAATCATCTTTATTTTGTTTGAAGAAATTATGAATAAATTCCAGTAGTTTGAGATATTGATATTTTAACTTTATATTATTTATATTGAAGTTTTTGTTTAAAGTTTCTTAACAAATTGTAAAATCAATTTTTTTTGTTTGTCTTTTTCTTTTTTTTTTTTTTTTATATTAATTGTAATATAAGTATAATGAAATTAATTTTTTTTTTTTTTTTTTTTTTCGTATGTAGAATATAATATTTTTATATTATTTTTTCTGTTGTAATTGAAGATAAGAAATTTTATAAATTTGTATGACAATGAAATATTAAAATAAAAAAATTATAAAGAACATTTTTATTTAAGCATAAAAATGTAATACAAATTTTTATTCTTTTAAGCAACAGAATGTCAAAAATACATAAAATATTTTATTATTCTAGCTTTTTTTAAATATTACAAAGAATGTATTAACATTTATTATATTTTTTTTTTTTTTTTTTTTATATTACCTGATACAAAATTTATAATTATTTTATTAAAGTTAGTTTATATTTTAAAAAAAAATTAAACAAACAAAATTTCATTTATATATGTTGCATACATGTTGAATTTAATTATATTCATAATGTTCTTTTAAAAAATTCATAAAATTAAAAAAAAAAATTTAAATTATATATACATAATAAAAAAATCCTAGATTTTAAAAAAGATATGTTTCTACAAAAAAAAATAGAGTTATATGGTAAGTTTCTTTAAGAATAAAATATTTTTTTCATTATTTAAAAAAATTACAAAAAAAAATGTATTTTCATAAATAATTCTCTCAATACTTTTTACGCAATATATTATGTTAAAAAATCAAAAATGGAAAAAAAAAATGTGTGTGTGTGTGTTTTTTTTTTTTTTTTTTTTTAAATTTTAATTATCATAACTTGATGAAAATATGGATTCAACAAAATCAAAAAGAACCTTGTGTATCCATATAAAGGGTTTTAAACCTGATAAAAATAAACCTTCATTTCCTCTTTTGTATAATAAATATATAATATTGTTGTTTTTTGAAATTTTAATAATATCTAAATGATTAAAATTAAAATTTTTTGAATCTGAACAAAAAATTAAGACAACGGGAAAATTGAAATATTCAATGTTTTTAGAGATAAACATATTAGAAGAATTCTGTAACAAAAAAAAAAAGGCTTTTAATAATTTATAATCTTTAAAATCAAAAAAATTGGGTATGACAGATGTGTCACATAAATGTCTAATGCTCCAACAACACTCTTTTTTTTTATTAAATGAATGAACTTTTTTAATAAATTGATAAAATTTCTGATTATCACAAAAATTAAAGTAACTATCTTCTCTAAAATATGTGCATATATATATTAATATTAAGTAATTATATATATTATATATAAATGACAGATTAAATAAAAAGTAGTCTTGATTACTTAAGCATAATTTGTTATTTTCAAAATATACTTTCCACTTTTCATGTAATTTCTCAATATTAAAATGAATATTTATTTTATTTTCAGAATTATCTTCGTATTTTATATTTTTTAGATTTCTTATATTGATATCATTTAGGTTATTTATATCATTATATATCAGGTTATTATTATCTAAATTATCTTCTAAAGTATTACTCTTGCTACATGGGATATTCACACTTGCTTCATTGTTTTTATCACAAAAATTTTTTTTTTTTTCTTTCTTTTTACTTTTTATTAAATATTCATTATTTATAGATGAATTATTTTCGTTTATAAAATTATAGTAATTTTCTGAGTTTTTGATTATAGTATTTATTTTCTTAGATAAATCATATGATTTATCATTTTTTCTTCTATTTCTAAGATTATTTAATTTATCGCTTATATCATTTAGACAATAATTATCATAAAAAATATATTCATTTTTATAAATATTATTATTAGTACAATATTCATCGTTTTCATTTGTAATATTATATCTACAACTAATATTTTTATTACAATTATGACAAATAATAGCACAATCATTCTTAGTACTAATAATATTATTACAGTTAATAACATTATAATTCAAATTATCACTACATTTATTATAAGTTTTATTGGGATCCTTATTATTATTAGAGTGATTAGGAATAGAATTGAAAGAACTTTTGTTACAATTTCCTGTATCCTTGTAACATTTATGTAAATTATAACTATCACTTCCTAAATTAATATTATTTGAATTATTTGTGCAGTTTATTCCATTATTAGACACATTATTTACAAGGTCGTTTTCATTACGTAAAATACAATAGCAATCGTTTAAATATTTTAATTTCATTCCACAGCTACTACAATTTTTATTAATGCCAAATAAAATATTATTCTCCATGTTATTTTGACTATTAATATTATAAATTGATTTTCCATCATAATTAAAAAATAAAGACATTTTTAGAAATTTAGTTAATTCTTCTGTGCAACTAAAAAAATATCTTTGTTTTATTAAAGTTGAAAATGAATTAAAAAATACATTTAAAGAATAAAAAATTTTATGAATTAAAGAGAATTTTTTTTTTTTTTTTTCAGTAAAGTCGTCCGGATAATTAAATATATCAAACATATTATTATATGAAAAATTAATTAAAATGCATAATTCTTTTGTATGTTTTTTTCTATAGTCATCATAATTATAATCCACTAATGTGCTACTATTTTCTTCAGAATCTTTTCTATTTTTGTTTTTATTAAAAGAGTTGATATTCATTTTATCTCTTTCAACGATTTTCTTATCTTGTGCTATTTTATTTTCAGAATTGTTAAAGTTTTGTTTAAATTTATTTTTTATTTTAAAAAAACTATATCGAAATTTTTGTGAAAAACCTGAAGCATCTTTTAATGCATCATCTTTCATTTTAGAATCCTTATTTCCAAGTGTTTTTAAAACATTTAATTTTATTTTTTTCTTTTTTAAATTTTCTAAAAAATTATCATTTGATTTAACCTGATGTTCTATATTCTTTTTAATGTTTTCTGCTGAAAAATTTTGATGAATATTACTATTTTTTTTAATAAAAGATGTAAAATTAGTTAAATTTAAATTAGTATATTTATTGTTAGAATGAACTTTATTTGTATTTGAATCCATGTTTTTTTTTGTTATTTTTGTGTTGCTGGAATTGGATAGTTTACTTTCGTTCTTTTCATCCTTACTTTTATATTCCTCATTATTTTTTTCTAATATAATATCTGTACTTTTATTAAAAATATTATTAAGTTTTGATAAACTTAATAAAGATTCAATTTTTTCACTTTTCCATTTTTTTTTATTATTTTTGGTTTTTTCTATTTTATGATTTTCTATGTTTTTTTTGTTATTTTTTTTTTTTGATTTCTCTTTTTTTAAATTCTCATTTATGTCTTTTATTTTTTCCTCCTCTAAGTATTCTTCATCACCACCTTCATTTTCTCCATTATCATTCTCATCTTCTTCATAATAATTGTCATAAACAACATAATCTTCTTTTTCTTCCACTTTCTCTTCCTCTTCATCTTTTTCTTCATCAATATCGTCCTCTTCTTCTTCTTCTTCTTCTTCTTCATCTGGTATTACTTTCTGCTTAATTTGTTCGTTTACTACTTCATTAAAAACTTCAACTTCATCAAAACTTCCATTTGAATCTTCTAAATTTTTCTCATCTATTTTATCTTCTTTTTCTTCCTCTTTATCATATATATTATATAATGTCTTTTTTTCTTTCTTTTTTGAATCATCTGATATTATTTCAACATTACTTCTTTTGAGTCCTATAAGCTTTTTTTCCTTATTTTCTTTTAATTTTTTTTTGTCTTTGAAAAACAAATTCATTATGTTATTCTTATTTTGTATATTTATAAATTCCTTTTCTTCTTCGTTTCTATTTGATTGAAATGTTCTTGAATTATTTTTTTTCTCATTTACATTATCACATGAATCTTTTTTTATATCTTCATTGCCTTTATATTTCTGCAAATGATATTTATATACATTAGCATTATTTAAATTAAATTGACTATTCATATGTTCATCCATTCCTTTTTTTTTTCTTTTCTTATAAATTTTTTCTAAAAAATAATTCAGTAAAATATTAGTACCATCATTAAAACTTAAAAAAATAAAATTATAATTTTTAAAAATTATTTTAAAGTGATTCATTGCTATATTTAAATCATTATAATTATCACTAAAAAACGAAAATGGAGATGAAAATAATGGAGTATTTATTTCTTCTGAAGAAAAATTTTCATTATTATAATTTACTTTAAAATCATAATTTTTGTAAATATTATTACTATTATTTTCAAAATTATTAATACCATTGTTATTATAAGATTTATTATTAGAATTTATTTTTTCTTTTTCATCATAGCTAATATATGAAGAGGAGCTTCGTATTTGCTCATGTTCATTGGTTTCATTATTAAATATAAAACTGTTTTTTAAACTATTTATATATGATGAATCTTCTTCTTTTTCTATATTAGTATCTCTATCTTTATTATAAATATTAATGGAATTTTTATTTTTATGAAAATTAAAATTATTTGATAGGTTAAAAATATTAGTATTTTTAGTTTTAAATATAAATGGAATTGATAATCCAAAATTAACGTTTATATGTATGTGAACGCAAATATAACCTAATAACTTTGCTATAATTGTAAAAGAATCAATCTTTATATCTTTTGTTAAAAAATAATATAAGGGGATTTTATTTTTCATATCCTTTATATTTATATAGTTATAAAATATTTCTGGCACTATAATAATAATTCCTTTTATATTTTTATACTTCAAATGATTAAGGTACATATTTAATTTATCTTTAATAACATTTTCCTTATTTTTATTTATATTATTATTATTATTATTATTCTGAATTTTTTCTTTATTTTTCAATTTTTCATTTAATTCTTTCTCTTCTATGATTATATTTTCTTCTATTTCTTCATTTGCTATTATATTATTTTTCAAATTTATTTTATTTTCTAATTCTCTAGTATTTATCATTATATATTTTAGTTTTTCATCTATTTGTTCTTTTATTACATTATTTCTTTGAATTTCTTCTTTTGGTTCTTTATTTGTTAAAGTGATATTTTTCTGTTTGCTATTTATTTCTTCCCCCTTATAAGTTTTTTCTTTTTCTTTTATATATTGGATTCCTTTATCTTCATTTCTATCATTTATATTTTTTATAAGATCATTATTAAGAATCCGTGAAAATTGAAGATACTGAATCAAAACAGTATCTTGCAAATATAAATATTGAACATTGGCATCATCGACTTTTTCTATATTTAAAATACGTTTCCATTTATTATCTATTAAAATTAAATTTATCTTTTTTTGCCGGTTAATATTTACGAGATCATATAAATCTATTTTATCAGAATTGTTTAACTTATCATCCTTGACGTTTTTTTTTTTTGTTGTAGCATTTGGCAAGTAATAATCAATAATTACTGTACCAAAATTGTTATTATTTAAAACTTCTCTTGTATTAATATGAAAATTAAAATTAATATTTTCGTAGATATTTGTATATTCAACAATAAAAATAAATATATTTAATAACTTGATATATATAAAATTTTTTATGTTCTCAATAATTCTAATTAAAAAATGATGAATACAATTATTATTACTATTATTTGTATTATTTCCTAATTTTTCAGAAATTAAGCCATTTAGATAACTTTTTTTTTTTTCTAAATACAAATAATATAGATGAACAAATATATGTTGAAGGAATGGGTGCATTAAATATATAGTACTTCTATAAACCTTTTCAATATTATTGCATCTATTAAAAAATAATAAAAAAATATATATACATACTTGTTAAATATTTCCACATATATATTAATAAATACAATAAAAAAATTATATATAATTAAAAAAAAGAAATACATCAAGTATTTTTTAAGATTTCTTATTTGTAAGGAAAAAAAAAAGAAAAAAAAAAAAAAAAAGATAATAAAACATTTTCAATATTATTAATATTAGTATATTACACATATCTAGTTAATAATAAATGGAACTTTAATAAATATATATTTTCTTTTACTTTTTGAGAATTTTCAAAGATTTATTCCCTAAATAAAAAACTAATCCTTTAGAGCAGAAATGATAATCAAATATAAAATAAATAAATAATAATATTAAAATTACAATAAAAAAAGCCATTATATCTTTTGATAATTCAATAAATTTTTCATTGAAAAGAATATTATTTAATTTTCATTTCTTAAAACTTTTGTATTTTTAATTTTTTTTTTTTTTCCTATAAAATTAAGTCATAAAAATGTAATAATTTATTAAAAAAGCATAATGAAATAAAAGAAATATATATATATATATATATATAAGAACAAAAAGAAAATGAATATGTAATGAAGTTAAATATACATTATTTATAAAAATAATGCTTTGTTAATTTAAAAAAAAAAATGAAATTTTAAGATGTGTTTATATGATATTTATTTTTATTTAATAATTTATTTTTTTTTTCATTTTTTAATTTTTTTATTTGATTTTTATTCTGTAATAGTTCTATTTTAATAATTTTTTCTGTTTACATATTTTCATTTTTAATTGTAAAATGTTCATGTTAATATTTATTGGTGAATTTGCCGTTTCTACTTAATTCTATGTAGAGATAAATGTTAAAAAATTTTAACAGTTATGATATATAATCTTTAATTTTTCCATTTTTTTTTTTTTTTTTTTTTTTTGAAAAAAAAAAAGTATCAAAAAAAAAAAAAAAAAAAAGAAATTTAAAAATACGAAATAAAAAAGCTATGAATATTAAAATAAAATTAAAATATTATTAATAAATAATTTTAATTATGAATGAAAATGTCATTTAAAAATAAATATTATAGAGATAATTATGGAGAAATTTACAATAAAAATAGCAATGAAAAAAACTATAACTTGACACATAATAGAGACAATTGTGAAAAACAAAGAAAAGATAAAGAAAAAGATAAAGAAAAAGAAAAAGAAAAAGATTTTTATGAAAGAAATAATAGTATTCGAAAACAAAATTTTAATAAAAAGGAAGAAATGGAAAGTACTAAATTAAAGTCATCTAATAATTTAAGTAAAAAGGATTATAAAAAAGATGATAAGAATTATTTAGGAAAATATAAAGATAGAAATTTTAAAAATGAAAATAGAGATAATAAAAGTGATAATAGATTTGAGAAAAAATATGATAGTAAATATGATAAATATGATGATAAGTACGATAGAAAATATGATGATAAGTATTATAAAAAACATGATGATAAGTATGATAAAAAATATGACGATAAGTACGACAGAAAATATGATAATAAGTACGATAGAAAATATGATGATAAGTACGATAGAAAACATGATGATAAATACGATAGAAAATATGATGACAAGTTCGATAGAAATTATGATAGTAAATATGATAGAAAACATGATATTAAATATGATGATGAATATAATGTAAAAAGGAGTAAGAGAAGACATGAAGAAAGAAAGAATAGTAATAAAAGTGTTGAAAAAAATTATCATAGCAGAAATAACAGTGAATACTATCATAAATACAGAAATAGAAATTTTGAAAAAGAAAGAAGAATAAGTAGGAGTAATAATAATAATACTAGTTTATACAACAAAAATGAAAATAGAAGAAATGAAAGTAAATCTATTTCTAAAAATAAAGAAGAAAGAAAAATATCATATAACAATGATGATGATGAAGAACGAGAATATTCTTCAAATTCTTATGATAAATATAATAAATATAATAAAAAAAAAAAAAGATTCATTGACTATGAAGAAAATGGTTTATTTGCAAATGATAACATAAAAAAAATAAAAAATACAAATGAAATTTTAGAAAATAAAACTAATATTGAATTATCAAGATTTATTTTTATATATAAAATACCTGATGATATAACGGAAGAGGAAATTGATGAAATTATTAGAAATATTGCAATAAATAATGCATTTTCATTACCTTTGAATATATATATAAATAAATTATCTTATTTTTCTATAAAAGATGATTTATTCATAAAAGAAAATTTAGAGTTTTTAAAAAATAATTCATACTTTAATAATATACAACAATATATACTAAACGAAAAATCAGATAATAAAATAAACGATGACAAGTGTTGTATAATTGAGTTTCCATCTAACGAAGCTTGTGGAAAATTATTTTCTCTTTTTGAAGAAAATAATTGTATTGAAATAAAAAAAAATATTTGTTATATATTTCCAATATTTAAACTAAAAAAAAAAAATAAGAATAATGAAGAAAAACAACAATTAAAAAAATTTAATGATTGGTATTGTTCATTATGTAATTTTTTAAATTTTTCTAGAAGAACAGTATGCTATTTTTGCAAAGCAGCTAAAACTAGTGATTCAAAAATAGTGGAAACCGAATCTAAGAATATAAGTAATTTTTTAAAAAATAATGTAAATAAATCGGATAATTTGTATTTAAAAAACAATTTTAATTTAAACAATGATCAAAAGGTATTCAATAATTATGCAATTGATTCATTCAATGCACATCCTGGTTATACAAGTAATATAAATAATTTAAATACTAATTATGAGGATATGATAAATGATAAAATGAATTTTATTAAGAATACCAATATATTAAATGCAAATAATGATATTTCCTTAAATGATAATTATAATAGTGACTATAATTTATATTCATATAATTTATTTCACATCTTTGAAAATAATATAGAAAACTTTGAAACAACAAAAGAGGCCTTGCTCAATGAAGAAAAAACAAATATGTTAATTTTAAAAGATATAGATGGTAGTATATCTAACAAAGATATAATAAAATTTTTGAATAAAATATTTGAAAAACGTAATGTTGATTATTTGTATTTATTTAATGATATAAAGGGTTCTAATAAAAGGAAGGGGTTTTGTTTTATTGAGTTCAATAATCAAAATGTAGCTGAAAAAATGATGAAAGAACTTGAAGGGAATTACTATATAAATTTTCAAAGTAATTATTTAAAGTTGGATTATGTAAATTCAAAAGAAAAACAATGTTTTTTTAATTGTATAAATCTGGCTAAATTGAATATAAATAAATCATCGGCCATTGTTACAAAAAATTATATTCCATATTTTAATTTTTTTGTTAATTATTTTGAAGCAATTGCAAATATGAATTTAATTCATTATGCTTTTTTTTTAGTGTGGTCTTCTCAAATAATTATTTTAAAAAATGGTAAACCTGAATTAACAGAATTTTTTTTTGATTATAATAGCCAATATTATTATCATCCCATTTATCAAATATATTTTGATAATAACACAAAATTTTATATGTCATTATCAAAAGGATATTATATTTGGAATGCAAAAGCAGAATGCTTAGTAAGAATTTATTTAGATAATGAAGAAGGAAACTATTATAAAAATGAAAATACTAATGAGTCATTATTATTGTCAAATTCATTAAAAAATAATATAGATGAAAATGTATGTAACAAAAATAACGATAACAGTAGTGAAAATAATAAAACAAAAAATACAAATGAAAATGTAACAAATACGAAAATTTCTACTTTTGTAGAAAAAGTCAGAAAAATAGCTTTGGCATCAAAGAAAACAATTGAACAGATGAATATTAATGAAAGTAATTGTAATAATTTGGAAAAAAAAAATAAAGAAATTATTAAAAAGCACTTTTCTACAGATTCAGCAGAAGAAAACGATTTTTCAGATAAAGAACTTGAGAAAAAAAATAATAATAATAACATGGATAATAAAAATAATGAAAATAATCAAGGAAATAAAGAATACAATGATATTCCCAAAAATAATAGCAATTCTAGCATTCATAAAAAAGATACTTTTAATGAGTATATTACTAATAGTAACTTAAAATTCCCTAATAATAAAGCATTAAGTAATTCAACCCAATTCAACAATAATAAAAATTTTAATGAATTTAATAATTTAAATAATAGTGCAGAAAAAAATGATATAAATCAACAATGTAGTAGTGACAATTTAGATATCATATGTTTTGTATGTTTGAGAAAATTTTTAAATAAAGAACTTCTTCAGAAGCATATAGATATGTCATCATTACACAAAAAAAATTTACAAAATGTTTTAGGTTTTGTAGCTATTACATAGTTAATATTTTGTAATTTTTTTTTTTTTTTTTTTTTTTTTTTTTTTTTAATTTAAATAGCTATTTTAATTAAAATTTTTGTTTGCGTAATTTTGTTCTTATGTAAACAAAAGAAAATTGTATTATGGAAAAATATTTATAAAGAATTTTTAAATTAAGAAAAAGAAAATATTAAAATATAATAGGATAAAATAAAACACATTTAAAGAGAAGAAAAATAAATTAAGGAAATTATTATATATATATATATATATATATATATATATATATATATATATATATATATACTACATTTTTATATTTAATTACAATACTTTTATTTATTTATATACACATTAAATTATAAAATTTTTTTAAATAAATTTCATCAGAAAAAATTATAATTTATTTAAAAAAATTTACTTCTATATTATATATTAACATTTTTTCTTACAATTACTTCAAATAAAATAATAATTAATTTCAATTATTATACTGTTTTTTTTTTTTTTTTTTTTTTTTTTTTAAATATATGATTTATATATGAAATATTTAATTTTAAAAAATAATTTAATTATATCTTTTTTTTTCTTTATTTTTAAAGAGTGATATTTAAATTTTTTTTCTTATTTTTATTATTTAAAACAAAACTTTTAATGTATTTTTTTTTTTTAAATATAAATTCTTATTTTAAAAAGTAGTACTTTTACTATTTTTCTTCTAACTCTATTCATAGGTTTTTTTTTTTTTTTTTTTTTTTTTTTTATTAATTAATAAAAATATCATACTTTAATAAATATTTTCTAACATTGTTAAAAATTTTGGTTAAATATATGCATAAAATGAATTTTCATTTAAAAAAATACAAAGTAAAGAATGCAGAAAAATGAAGAAGTTTGTTCAAAAACAGGTAATTTAAAAGATGAAAAAGAAGTTGTTAAAAACCATTTGATTATAGTAGTAGATGTTAATATATTAATTTGGTGTGAAGGATTAAAAATAAAGTTTGATAAAAATCAAGTAAAAAATTTAAAATTATCTGATTTTTTTAAATCTCTATTTCAATTTATAAGGTTTTATTGTTTTATGAGTAATTCAGAAAGGTTATGTTTAATTGCTACATCTTCTAACAATTGTAAAATAATATACGAAAATTATATATCTTATACTAAAAATAATCTAGCAGAAAACGATTATTGTAGTGATACTTATGATAATTTAATTAATTTTATTAATGAAAATAAAAATAGTAAATTAAGTGAAAGTACTTTATCATCAGCCTTAATTATAGCATTATGTTATAACAATAAAATATGTAACTTATATGAAAATATTAATACAAGAATATTTTTATTAGATATATCAAAGAGTCATTTTTATACTAATCAATATACACAATTAATGAACATTGCTTATAATGCTAAAAGAAATAATGTAATAATTGATGTTCTTTCACTTAACCATAAAACAAAAATACTTGAACAAATATGTAATATTACGAATGGCTTGTATATAGATAATAGTATATTTTTAAATGTTAATTGTAATGATAAAATTGAAGATATATTAACACAAACTATGATTTTTTGGTTCTTGCCATCAAATAATTCAAGAAAATATTTTTCTAATACATATTTAAATGAAGATACTAATATAGCTGTTTGCTCTTGTCACAATAAACAAATAGATATAGCTTATATTTGTTCATGTTGTTTAACTATTTATTGTTCAGAAAAAGATTTTCAAACTAATAAAGATAGAATTTGCTGTTCTATTTGTAAAACTAGATTTACTAAGTCTCTATTAAGAAATAAAATTGTTTCCGATTTAGATTTTACTATTATTTAATATTTTTGTAATATCATTATAATAATTAACTTATTTTTTGTTATTTATTCAATTTATTTATAAATGTGTATTTATATAATATTTTCTCTTATGTAATAAGACATGTTTTATTATATGCAACTCTATTTTATATATATATATATATATATAATATAAATATTATTAATTTGATATTTCTAAAATCTATATATAATCATAAATGGATTTACAAAGAACCTACTAATTTTTTAATTTTTTTTTCCTTTTTTTCTTTTATTTAAAGAAAATCGAAAAAAATTTTATAATAATTTATATACTATAAATTTGTGTGAACAATATAGTGATTTTTTTAAGTTTCTTCAAAAATAAAAATAAAATGAAAATGTAATTTAAGTTAAATTAAATATAAAAAAAAAAAATTTATATATATATTTATATAAACATATATATATATATATATATGCTTATATAAAACCAAACTAAAAAAAAAAATTATCTATACGAAATGTTAATATATAATTAGAAAAAAGTTTACATATATATGTATATAAATATATATTTTTTTAAAAAATCATTAAAAAAATAAAAAAAAAAAAAAAATATAATAGGAAATATAAATATGCAATAAGATAAGAAGAAATTTTTGTCAAATTAATTTTTGTTTTATTATTGTTTGTCACATTTTTTTGTTTGATATTTTAAATATAATTTTTTATAAGTATAATTTGTATTATCTAAAAAAAAAATAAAAGTATATAATATATAAAATTTACTTTAAAATTATTTTCAACCATCATGTTTTATTTACTTAATATCATTATTACTACTACTTTTTTTTTTTTTTTTTTTTTTTTTGATATAATAAATTCCTTTATTAAAAACATATTTGTAAATATTTTTATTAAACTTTTACACTTCTCCATTAAAAGGTAAAACTAGCTTCTTTCCGTACCATTTAGCAAGAGCAAAATAATAAAAAAAATCAATATATAATAATGTTTGAATTAATCCTCCTATCCATCCCACAACGTTTATATAAGGTTTTTCGTCAAAAAAATATCTATATATCCAATTTAAAATATAAAAAGCTCTATATAATCCCATTGTAATAACATAATGAGATGTTATATTTTCCACTTCTCTTTGTTTTTCTAATAAAACCAATTGAGGTAATATTGCCACACTTTCTAACCATATAGAAAATGTCCATAATATATTGTAAAGGTTATACGTTTTACATGTTAATAAACTTAAAACTAAAAAAAAAAAAAAAAAAAGGTAATAATAAATGTAACATATATACATATATATATATATATGTTTACATAATAAATTTTTACTAATTAGAATATTCAAAAAAAAAAAAAGTTATCTATCATTATAAAATGTTATAATTTTTTTTTTTTTCTTTTTAATAACATTTAATATTTGTGTTTTTTACAATTAATTTATTTATTTTATATTTTTTATTTTAACATATTTTCTAAATATATGTGCATACCTATACATGGAGGAATTAAATACTTTTCACTTTTGAAACTGTCAACTTTTCTATTGTAAGTTTGAGAAATAGGAAGTTTAAATCTAATTAAATATATTGTATAAGCTATGGTTAATATAAATGTTATTTTCATAATAGTATTATATAAGCTCACAAAAACGAAAAATAGATCTATATATCTGCATATTAAAAGAAAAAATAAATATGATAAGTTTATATATATATATATATTTATATATATATAATTTTTTTTTTCTATCTACCTGCATAAAAATACTATTAAATATAATTCTTGCATACGGCAAGAAATTCCTATGCAATTTTTTGACTTTTTTAATTTTATAATAAGTATGTACATACTTACTAAATGTAATATATCACCTATTAATCTAAAAGCATTCATTTTGACAATATTTAATTTAAAAAAAGAAGTAAATTTTTATTTTATTATTATTATTATTATTGTCTCTATTTTTTGTAAAGATTATATTTACAATTAAAAAGAATCTTATGTTTTTATATATAAAAAAAAATTATAAAATATTAATATATATATATATATATATATATATATAATAACAAAATAGTAATTATAAAAAAAAAAAAAGTTAAGCTGAAATGTTAACTCTATATATACAGAACAATATCGATAAAATATTTTTTTTCTTAAACAACATGAATTTTTTTTTTTTTTTTTTTTTTTTTAACAATTGTAATTTTCTTTATTATGCATATATTAAATTAATTTTATATATATGAAAATAGATATTTATTAAAAATAAATAATTCCATAAAATAAATTATCTAATAAATATATTATTTTTTTGTCAAAATTTTATTATAAAAAAAAAAAAAAAAAAAAAAAAAAATAAAGAATCAATGTTCTTTTAATTTTTTCTATATTCAAAATTTATCTAAATCATAATATTGTTTTTGTAACATATATACATATATGTATATATATATGTTATCATTAGTAAGTGTTTTAATTTTGGCTTGGCAAAAAAACTCAAAAAATAAAATTTATCATTAATATTAAAAATATTTTAAATTGGCTAAATTTAAATACATATATTTATGTATATATATAATAAAAAACATTGATTATACTAATTTAAAATTAAATGTAAAAAAAATTTTGTAAAAACAAAAGTTTGGATAAATAACTTAAAAATATTATATAAAAAAAAAAAAAAAAATTAAATAATAGTAGTTTTAGAATTTAATACGATTTTTTTGCTTTTCATAAGTAACATAAAAATAAATTTCTTTTAATTTCTTTTTTAATTTAGTTTTCTCTTTTTTTCTAATAAAGTTTATTCTTTTTTTTCCATATACATTTTTTTTTTTTTTTTTTTTTTTTTTTTTTGTATATGTTAAATATTCTTATAAATTTTTGCTTTTAGGAAACAACAAATGTTTTTAAGGTTATGGATAAACCTATGCACTTTTTTATGAAATTAGGAATATTTTTTATAATGATTTAAATAATAAAAAAGAGGTTTAGTTTTATTTTCTAATTTATAAATTATAGGGATTTTTTTTTTTTTTTTTATGTTTGTTTTGAAGTTTCCTAAATTTTATGGAGCTAAAATTGCTTACAATTTTTATTAGTAAGAGTGATAATTTTTTTTAAAAATAATACTCCTTAATTATTATTAAATATTATATTGCTATTTCCGAATTTCAGAAGTGTATTCATCCGTTTGTTATTGATCTATATCTTTCTTTAGTAGTAGATATATCTTTTTATTTATTAAGAGTATATATATTTACATTAAATTTTTGATAAGATGATATCATCATATAAAAGCAAGGGTGATGATTTTTAAGTTTACTATATATGGTTAATTTCATTTAATAAATAATGTAAATATTGAAAATTATGAAGGAAATTTGAATTTTTTTTTTTTTTTTTTTATGTTTAAAAGATAAAATTTTATTTTTTTAAAAGATTATATAATTAACATTTGAAGTAGAATACATTAAGTATATAAATTTATAAATCAAATAAGAAAATGAAATGAAAAATAAATTGAGGTGTGCCTTATTTCATTTAAAGATTAATAAAGCATATATTATTTTCAATTTAAAATAATAAAAAAAAAAAAAAAAAAAAAAAAAAATTCATAAAATTTTGAACATAATAAAAAAAAAAGTTGTAACTTTTTTTTTTATTTTTTATTATTTTTTTATAATTATTTTACATAAAATACTAATCTTAATACAATTTTTTTTTTTTTTTTTTTTTCTTTTTTTTTAAATGATAAGTTAATATACTTAATTTTCTTTTTAATAATATTATAAAAAAAAATTAAAATATATATAAATGTATATATATATATAAATACAATATGAATTGGTTTAGGAAAAAAGAGTCGAGTGAAAATAAAACTGTTAAATCTGAATATGACGATTATGTAGCACCACCTCCCTTTGGTAATCATTTAGCTGCAGCACCAGAAAAACCCAAATTTATAAATGAGAAAAATTTAACTGAATTTAAAGGATTTACACCACCTCCAAAATTTGAATTTAAAGAAGATACGTCAAATATGTATGATGAAGATTTTTCTAAGTATACTAATAGCGGTATAGTGGATTCATCAGCTTATGATGATAAAAAATATCTTAGTTATGACGATAAAAACAATTTTTTTGATTTAAATTTAAGTTATAGAACAAGAGCCTGTTTAGAAAGTATAAAAATGGGAGTAAAAATGGGTTCAATGGTTGGTGGTATTTTTGGTAGTTTGACAGGCTTATATGCATCTTTTGCGCATAAAAATTTTTTTATTTTTCCAGTATCAGTAATAGGTGGAGCTGTTAGTTTCGGATTTTTTCTTGGATGTGGTATGATTGTTCGTTGTTAATATATATAATATTTTTTTTAAAAAAATATAAGCTTTTAATAATGTGTTTGTTAACAAATAATTGAATTTTTATAAATATAATTTTATAAACATATAATTAAAATATACGAGAATTACCTTTGCACATTCTCAAATGAAAAATAAAATTTTATAGAAATAAAACTATTTTATATAAAAAAAAAAAAATGAAAATATAAGGTATAATAACCTTTTTATTTTCTTATTAATATTTAAATTTATTATAGTTATTAAAAATTTTTTTTTTATAAATTCATAAAAGTATATATATATATATATATATATATTTAGATATCTCCTTATTTATTTTTACTTATTTATTTGGTAAATATAAAACCTTTTTAAATATACTTTTAAATTAATTACAACAAAAAAATAAAAGTTAAATGAAAGGAAAATGTGATTTAAGAAAAATTAATTGTTTTCATTTATTTCTTTTTTTTTTTTTATATTAAAACATCTTTTTATAAGTTAACAAGTTTTTATATTTAAAAAAAAAAAAAAAAAAAGGTAAAAAGAAAAAGAAAAAGTAAAAGAAAAAGAAATTAAAATAAAATATCTATACAAACAATAATAGAAAGTATATAATAAAAAATTATGTAAATTTTATTCTTTAACATATTTTTGTGTATATAACTTAATTAACTCTTCTATTTCTTTTTCTGTTAAGTATTTTTGAAATACTTCTCCATCCTTATGTGACAAATAAGCTAATTCTATCTTTTCACTTTTAGGTATTTCATTATCGGTACTTTTAGCCAACGTTTTTAATGCTAGTAATAATCCTTCTTCTAATGTCATTTCCTTCTTCCATTCCTTAAAAAAAAAAAAAAAATATATATATATATATATATATATATAATATATTCACATAACTATATATTTTAGTGATATTCATATGAATATTCAGTTAAAATGCACTTATATATATCAAAATAAAAATTTATGCTAATGATAATTTAATTTATTCTTATATTAATTTTTATTTTTTGTTTTTTACTTGTTTTAGAATAGAACTAGCGGTTAAATTATTAGTTCCGATAGCAGTTGCAAACCATCCAGAATAATTTCCACTAGGATCTGTATGATAAAGTTGATATCCGTCTTTCATATCATAACCAGCAATTAAAAAACTAACACCATATGGTCTTAATCCACCATATTGTGTATAACTCTGCTTGATATCACAAATTTGAACAACTAATTGAGATACAGGTTCTATATCATTATAATTATATAAATATCTTTGTGTGTATAATCTTGATTGATTTATTAATATATTTGCATCAGCATTTAAACCAGCAACCCCACAAAATATATGATTATCAATTTTATATATTTTTTCAAAATTATTAACTTTATCTATTAATTTAGATATAAAAACTTTATCAGCTCCTAGTATTACCCCCTCTTTTGTAATTATTCCAATTGTTATACTTGCATTATTTATAGCTTCTAAAGCATACTCAACTTGATATAATCTTCCCTCTGGAGAAAATGTAGTTGTTCTACTATCATATCTTCTAGCCATATTAAACTACTATATTAATATATATAAAAAAAAAAAAAAATATCAAAACATCAATGATTTCTGTATATATATATATATATATATATATATGTAATCAACTAATTTTTCAACTTTTATATATTTTTAATTCTTTTATCAAGAATATTTATATATATAAAATATAAATATATATGTGTATATAAATAAATATAAGGAAAAAACAAAAAAAAAAAAAAAATAAATAAATAAATAAAATAAAATAATAAATAGGTAATAATATAAAAGAAACAACACAAAAAAGATTTTTTTTTTTTTTTTTTTATAATAATTAAAAATGATACCATAAAATTAATTGGGAAATTTTACGAAAAATGATAGAAATTTTGTAAAAAAACTTATGTTTATAAAAAAAAAATATATATATATATATATAAATAAATATATAAATATAAATAAATAAGAAAAAAAAAAAAAAAGAAATATTAAGAAATATGCATTTAAAAAAAAAAAAAAAAAAAAAAAGTGTATATAATAATGAAAAAAAACAGGATTAGAAAACGTTTGTAAAAATATTAAAAAAAAAAAAAATAAAATAAATATAAGTATAATACATAATTTTTTATTTTATCAACACAATCTATTATCTTTATAATAGTAATTTTTTTAAAATTGTATTATTAAATTATCACATAAAAAAAATTTTGGGTGTATAAAAAAAAAATTAAAAAAATAATTAAGGGTAATTCAAAATATTCTTGAAAAAATAAAACTAGTATTCCCTAATTGTAAGATATTTGTGATAACATATTATTATTTATCCAATTTTGTTTTTTGTTTATTGATTTTTGTTTATTTAAATTATTACATAATTATATATTTTTTTAATGTCATTATTTTCATTTTAATTGTTTTAATAATTAACGAAGAATTTTTAATTGTATCTATATCTTGATAAATAGGTACCAAATGATCATTTTTTGTTGAATGATTATAAATACATTCTATTTTTATATAAATTGTTATAATACTCTTTTCTTTTTTTTTTTTTTTTTCCCTTTTATGCATAATATTAAATTATATCTTCCTTATAGTATTAATGGTTTACTGTTTAATTTTTGTTTTTGTACATATACGTTTATAGTCACTGTATTTTTTTTTTTTTTTTTTTTTTTTTAATTAAACAAGTATAATTAATAAATATTAAATTATTATACACTTTAATATATTAGTAATTACACATATTTATAGAAAAAAAAAAAAAAAAAAAATACATTTTGGAAAAATTTTGTTAAATTGCTTTTTTTTTTTTTTTTTTTTTTATTATTATATTAATATAGGTAAACTAAATAGTTAGAATTAGAGATAATAAAAGTAACAGTAATAATAAAATGACATATGATAGAGCAATAACAGTTTTTAGTCCAGATGGTCATTTATTACAAGTAGAACATGCCTTAGAAGCAGTTAAAAAAGGTGGATGTGCAGTAGCAATAAAAAGTTCAAATTTTGCAGTTTTAGCTGTTGAAAAAAAAAATATTCCTAAATTACAAAACCCCAAAACAACAGAGAAGTTAATAAAGTTAGATGAGCATAACTGCTTAGCTTTTGCTGGATTAAATGCAGATGCAAGAGTGTTAATTAATAAGGTAATTAAAGGAAAAATTTCGTAAATTTTTCGTAATTTTTTCGTAATTTTTTCGTAATTTTTTCGTAATTTTTTCGTAATTTTTTCGTAAATTTTTTCGTAATTTTTTCGTAAATTTTTTCGTAAATTTTTTTTTTTTTTATTTTCTAAAAATATAATATTTGATTGTTTTATTTTATTCTTAAATGAATAGACACGTTTGGAATGCCAAAGATATTATTTAAATATGGATGAACCTGCTCCAGTTGACTATATTGCAAAATATGTTGCAAAAGTTCAACAAAAGTTTACTCATAGAGGTGGTGTTAGACCATTTGGAATTGCAACATTAATAGTTGGATTTAAAAATAATAAAGAAATATGTATATATCAAACTGAACCAAGTGGAATATATGCCTCTTGGAAAGCTCAAGCTATTGGAAAAAATGCAAAAACTGTACAAGAATTTTTAGAAAAAAATTATCATGAAAATATGGAACAAAATGAATGCATTCTTTTAGCATTAAAAGCTATATTTGAAGTAATTATATATATATCTATATATATATAGATATATATACATATATATATATATATATGTGTATATATATATATATTTTTTTTTCTTATAGGTTGTTGAATTAAGTAGTAAAAATGTTGAAGTTGCTTTACTAACAGAAAAGGAATTATGTTTTATTGATGAACAACAAATTAATTTATTGGTTAATTAAAAATTACTTAAATTATATATTAATGAAATTATATAAAAAGAAAAAAATTATATTCAAAATAAATTTAATTATAAAAAATAATAATACACAATTGCTCAAATAAAATTAAACAAAATTATATATTAAATATTTTTTAGTGACTAATATTTTTTTTTTTTTTCTTTATAAATGTATATATATCTGTATTTTTATTTAAACATAATAAAATTATTTCAACTTTTCTTATGTATTATTTTAGGTTGAAGTCATTGAACAAGAAAGGACAAAGAAGAGCTCACAAAATGAATGACCAAAATGAATAATTCTTTTATTTTTTTATGTTTTAAAAAGAAATTTTATAAAAAAGAATTTTAAATTTAAAAATATAAATAAAAAAAAAATAAATTATGTGTAAATATTTTTTTTTATTTTTTAAAAATTTTTTATTTAATAATATTTTCCAATATTTTTAACTTTAAAATAACATAGATAAAAAAGTAAAAAAATTTATAATTAATATTTTTTTTAATATAAAAATAATTTCAAATAAATAAATAAATAAATAAATAAATAAATAAATATATATATATATATATATATATATATATATATATATATATATATGTATATTTAAATTATAAAAAAAGTTCCATAAAATGATATATAAAAATTTTAGTAAATAATAAGCCTTAATTGATAACAATTTTTTTTTTATAAAGTCATATATAAATTATATTTACAAAATAAATAAAAAAAACTAATTTAGATTTATGTTTATTAATTCAGAATTATTAAACAAAAAAAAAAAAGAAAATATATATATATATAAATAAAGTAATAAAACACAGCATCGAATAGCTAAGTATAAGAAAAAAAAAAATAGATGGCCATTACTAAAGATAAAAATAATTAATTAAAATAATTTACAAAAAAATATAAATGTGCAAATTTCTTTTACAAAAAGTATTATAGTTTTAAAAATGTAAGCTATTTATTATGTCTTATTCTTGTCCAGAATGAACCGAATTTTCTAATTGTGTGTTCATTTTTATACTGATTATAATGAAGAATTGAAGAATTACCTTGTTCATCAATTATTAGAGTGTCTTTTTTTTTAAAATTCTGTTGACTTTCTTGTTGTTCTATTGCCAGATGAATAGGAAGAATCTCTTTCATTGGTAAATAATATTTAAGTGAATCATAATTTAAACTAAAATCAACATTAATAATTTTTTCTATTATATAATTAGATGCTTCGATAATATTTGTAGAAATAGTTTGCATTTTAATGTTAATAATATGTAACTCATTTTCCATTAATTGTTCACAACTTCTTGTTTCTTCTTCCAATTTTTTGTAACTTTCTTCATACTTTAAATTTTCTATTTGTTTAAAATTTTCTATTTCTTCTTCTATTTGTTCATACATTAATTTCCTTAATTTTTTTTTATTTTGATAAGCTTTATCTATTATATTTTTAGCTTCCTTTTCACCATTTAATAGTAACTCAATAAAATAACTACTATTTTTAAATTCACACGATTCTTTATTTTTCTTTATTAATTTACTGTTAGAATTTATGCAAAATTCATTTGAATATAAAATTTTTTTTTTCCCAATTTTACAACCCTCATAAGGACATTCTTTACTAAATATAAAAGAACATAAATTATTTTTTTTTTTTTTTTTTTTTGCTTTAAAATATTTTTCATTATCACTTAAACTTTCTATTATTTCGATGTTATTGTTTTTATTTATTGTGTTTAAACATGATATGGTGGATTTTTTATTATTAGTAGTATTTATTTTAGTAAATTTATTACTAGAACAATCATAACAAGGGGCTTGATTTTTTTCGGAATTTTTTCTCAAATTATTAAATGAATTCATTTTATTATAATTTTGATTTGAATAAGGAAATTTTAGTTTATTTTTGTTAAATATACTATAATCTAATACTTTCCTGTTTTCATAATTACATATATTATTTATTGGTGAAACATTCCTTTTAAAAATACTACTACTGTTAAAATATTTGTTTTTACTACTATAGGTAGAATTTGTAATATGTCCATTTTTATTTAATATAGTTAGGTTTCTTTTATAATTCTTATTTTGTGCTTTAATATCATACCTATTATATATTTGATAATACAAATTTTTTACATTATTATTAACATTATTATTAACATTATTAGCAATAGAATTAGCAGAAATAGTAAAATGGTTAATGCTTTTAAAGTCAGAATTATGTTTTATATTATCTATTTTATTTATATAATTTCTTTTATTTATTTGGATTACCTTATTTACATTTGAATTGAAACATTCAGAATTGTTTAAATCACATAGAATGGGTGTTTTTTTGTTCTTCGTAAATTTCTTTTTTATGGTTAAGTTATATACAATATTATTTAAATAAGTATTATAATTATTATTATGGTTACAATAATCATTAATTTTACAGTTAGTGCAATTATTTCTAAAAGATAGATTGTTGTCAAAATTATTATCTATACTAAAACTGTTACTAATATAATTTTTTTTTAATGGGACACTTTTTATTATACTCATATCATAACGTTCATTATCTCTCATTTTATTACTTTTTTGATATATGTTTTTTTTTATTTTACTACTTATTTTGTTATCATTTAATTTATTTAATTTTAATTCATTAGAATTTTTGATCACATTTTTGTTTAAATAAAATAATACATAATTATATATAGAATCTTTTCTTTTATAGTCATGATAATTATTTAATAAAGTAATGTTATTCTTTTCTTTTCTTTTTCTATAAGGTATAATGTCTTTAATGTGTAAATTCTTGTTATATATATAATTTGTATTACTGTAAATTTTATTATCTACATTCATATTGTTGTAATTGATTTTTTCTTCCACTACTTTTGATATAAATTATTTCTTTTATTTTAATTAATTTACAAGCATACCTTTTTTTTTTTTAAATAGTCTTTTATATTAATCTTTTCAAAGATATTCTTTTATCTAAAGAATATAATAAAATAAAAAAGAAAATCATAAAATAAAAATAAAAAAAACGAAAAATATATTAAAGGAAATGAACTTTTCATGAGTAATTTTCAATGATTATTAACGCACATTAATGAAATAAGTAATTAAAAAAAAATTATGGAAGGAAATAAAAAAGATAAAGAAAAAATAGAAGGTTCAAATTAATATATAAAAAATGTTCAAGATTAATAAAAACGAATTATAATAATATGAAACTAAAAGAAATAGGAAAAATCTATAATAAGTATGGATAAAAAAATTACAAAAAAAAAAAAAAAAAAAAATGATAAAATGGAAGAATAACAGAATAACAGAATAACAGAATAACAAGAAAACAAAAGTCATAATTATTATAAGTTATGAAACAATATCAGTAAATGCAATTATGCAGGAATAGAATAATTATAATAATATTTCAAATAAAATTTGTCTTAAAAAAAATAAAATAAAAAAATAAAAACAAATATTTGTTCTAAATAACAATATTATAATAAGCTAATATATTAAATAAAAATAGACTACTTTTAATTTTATAATTTTATTTTATTTTATTTATTTATTTATTTTATTTTATTTTATTTTATTTTTTTTTTTTTCTGTGTGTGTGCCTTACTATTCTCCCAACTAATCTTGTTATGAAAAAAAATTTTTTTTTTTTTTTTCTTGTAAAAATAAAAAATAGAATTTTTTTTAAAGGATAGGATTATAATATATGGAAAAAAAAATATATATATTAGAAAAAAATTTCTACATTAAAATGGTTTTGCGTATTTCACTTTATTTTCTTTTCTTAAAACAGTGTGAGGTTTAATGCTTTTACAAATAAGAACTAATTTAAAATAAATTTAAAATGAACATTAATAATTATTAAAATACATATTTTATTTTACGTAGGAATATGTTTATTATAATTATTATTTTAAATTTAACAAATATTTAAACTCTCTATTATTATTTAATATCATTTGTAGTTACAATCTAAATTGTTATATATATTTGTATCATCTAATTTTTCTCTTTTTCTTAAATTGTTTATAATTTTATTTTGAAAAAGAATTATTTCATCTTTTTTTTTAATTTTCTCATCTTGCATTTTCATGTAATCAACACATACATAATACATGTTTAGTAGATTATTAAGAAATATATTGTTCTGATATTCTAATCTTTTTATATGATCTAATAACAGTTGCTTTTCATTATTTTCATCATTTTTAAAATTTTTATAGGTAGTATTATTATTTTTATCAATATTACTATTCAAATTAACATGATTTTTCTCAATTTCATTTTGCGTATGAATATCAAAAAATGTATCCTCTAGTGAATTTTCAAGGTTATCATTAAATTCATTATTTTCATATTCATTATAATGATTTTTGTTTAAATGAAAACTATCATTATCTATATGTCTATAAATTAAAACATTCTTAAAATCAATTACTTCATTTTCTAAATCATTTATTTCTTGGTTTTCAGAATTTTCATATTTAGTAAAGCATTCTCTTTTTTCATAATTTTCATTCTTTTTCTGATTATAATAAGGAGCACTACAATCTTTATAAAAGTTATTGTTTATATTTGATGTAGAACTTACATTAAATGGTATATTATTTTTTGTTTTCATATAATTTTTATTATTCAATTTAATATTGGTATTTATATTAATTTCCTTATTTTTATAATTCTTATATTTTTTATTTTTATTTGATAATTCATATAAGTTTTCTTTTATTGGTTTTTTTTTGTTGTATTCTTTAAAAAGCTGTAACTTTAAATTTTCTAAATTTAAATTATTAATATCATTGTTATTATTATAATTTTTATTTAAAATGTTCTTATTCTTTATATTTTTCATTTTATATATTTACAAAGAATATTTAACATGTAATTTCACTTCATATTTATATTCTATATTAAATTTTATGGGGTATAAAAATTCTTGATATTATAATTTATTAAATTATAAAAATAAATTGAAAAAAAAGAAGTTTTAATTTCAATTTAAATCCATTAAAAATATATGTATATTTTTTGTTTTTTTTTTTTTCTAATTGGTTCTTCAATACAAATCAAACTTAATATATAATTAAATATAATATAAAAAAATAAATAAAATATGAGCTATTAAAGAAATTTAAAAGAAATCAAAGAACTGTAAGAATACGTTTAATACTTGTATATTAAATTATGTTTAAGAAGAAAAAAAAAAAAAAATATATAAATAAATATTCGTAAAACAAATAAAATAATAAAAAAAGCGTAAAGAAGCAAAAAATTTCAGAATAAAAAAAAAAGATAAATTATGCTTATAGCAATAATTATAAATAAATATATCAATAAAAATTCAATGAAAAATTACACCAATAATGTATTAATACGTAAAATAAACAAAAAAAAAAAAAAAAAAAAAAAAAAAAAAAAAAGAGGATAGGCATTATATATATAAGTTATATATATGTATTCCTTTTTACATACAAAAAAAAATACAAAGCCATATGTTTATTTTTTTTTTTTTTTTATTAAGTTTTATACAATATAGTATTTAAATTGAATAAAATGAAATATAAATTGCTATATAAAAAACTAAAGAAATAAAATTATTATTATATTGAAAAAATGTATTTTTCTAAAAGAAATAATTTGTTTTATATGTATATTAAAATATAAAGAAAAATGTTTTTTAAATATTTTTAACATTTACCAAATAAAGTAACAAGAATAAAACAGAACAAATGAAAAAATGCATACACACTAATAAAAATAGAAACTTCATAATTTTTTTAGAAAGATATAAAAACAGATATTATTTTATTTTTTTTTTTTTTTTTTCAAACAAAAATATTTTATAAAATTTCTTCAATTTAAAACTGTAAAATGAAAAACTGTTTAAAGTTTTTTTCATTTAAGTATTTGTATCCAATTGTGGGGAAGACATAACTCTTTTTTTTTGAAAGAAAACGTAAATACAAAAAAAAAGGAAAATTAAAAAAGAAATAGACACAACACCTGATGTTTTTGCTAAAATAGAAATAAAATTGAAATATTTAGTTTGATTTAAAGGAAATAAAAATAAATGAAAATTTTTCCTTATAAGAAAAAATATATAATTGGTAAAGTTAGAAAAAGAGTTAATAATAAAATTATGTGTAAAAAAATAAACTCTTTTTAGCAATTCCTGCATTGGACTGGTACATATAGATGCAGAAAAAATAATAATAAATTCTAATAATACTTTTATCAACTGATTATAATTTCCTTTATGAATATTAAAAATATGTGAATATTTTAAATTTTCATTGGTAGCTAAATTTATACAATCATTATTATAACCATCTAAGAAATTATTATTTATATATCTCAATAAAATGTAATATAAATCTTGAAACAGACCACCAACTGTTCTCTTACCATTTTGTGTTATATCATTTTTTAAAGCACCGGCACCGCTATATATTATACTTATAGCATTAGCATTATTTATCCAAATTTTACGATATAATATTTCATCACAGGAATTTTTAAAGAAATAATAAGGAAAATTATTACTTTGTTCTAATTTTATATGTATACTTTTTAACTGCAAAAATAAAATATATTTCGCTAAAAAACTTTGAAAAACATTTGTTCTATCTAAGCAATCAATACAATTTACTCGAAATATTCCTTTTTGAAAACTGTGAGTTTTTACATTTAACCATGAAAAATTTTCTTCATGGTTTAAACTATTAAGAGTATTTGGAAAAGAAAAAGAAAAATATGAAAAATCGTTTAAATCAGTTACTACTGTTTTTAATGATTTCTGTAATGCTTCAAAATTTAATTTTTTAAATTCGCTGTGAAAATCAAACCAAGTAAAATTATGCTCAACATTACATTTTTTTAAACACATTTCAAAACATTCTCCTAAATACCTTTCACCAAATTTTTTATTTATTAAATTAGTAATAGAAATTTTTCCATATGTCTTTTTTAATTTTTCCATGTGTAATTTTAAAATATTAATATTTTCACTCATATCTGAATATATATTTATTCTTGGCCTAAATCTTAAAGTTGGTTGCTGTTTCCATAATACAGGTATTGATCCTCTAATTAATAAATAACTAAAAACGTTTATTTTTCTTGAATCATTACAAATCACTATTTGTTCTGTTTCAACAAAATTGGCCACATCTCCCTTTTCATTTCCTCCTCTACACCAAAACCTTACACCACTCCTGTTCTTATTTTTTCTTGATATTAAATATAAGATAATTTTATTATTATTTATATGTAACACTTCTGAGCCAATATACCCATGAATCAAAAATAAAATAAAGTCAGATGCATCGATTTCGTTAAATTTATCTAATAGTTTCCAATTCCATGTGTATTCTTTATTAATTTGTGAAAATTGTAATTTTTTGAAATCGTTGAAGCAATTAGAAGAGTTTTTATGTGAAATGTTACAATCTTGCTCACAATTATTTATATGAGAATATTCTTTATTAATTTCAATTTTTTTGAATGCATTTAGGTATTGTTTTTGAAGAGAAATACTTAAATTATAATAATAAGAAAAATAAAAAGGACCTTTATTAAAAGCATGTAAAAAATATATTATTGTTTTTAATGTATCTTTTTTTAATGTACTATTTTTAAATTTATGAATATAAGCATCGTGATAATTAAATTTATTATACTTAAAAATATATCTCTCAAAAAAAATATTTTTGGATTCAAAAATATTATCTAAATAATTCTGTTTCTGAATTTTTTTATTACAAAAAAATTTTTTTTCTCCTTTTGTATTATTATTTACTTTTATTAAGTTCCCATTAGTTCCTAAGCAATAAAATTCATATTGATAATTTTCATTAAAATTTTTACTCATTTTATCATCGTTCAATTGGACAAAACAAAATTTCTTTATTCTGTAGATTGCACAATTAAATAAATAACATACTACTTCAGCATCAGAAACTATTACCAAAAAATTTGTATCTTCTGCTTTTATTATTCCTAAACAACCAAAAAACCAAAACTTATTTTTATTATCATTTTCTATTTCATAATTATCATTTAAATATTCCTTTTCTTTAATTATATTTATATCTTTAGTATAATTAATTTTTAGAATATTTTTTACATTGTTTTCAATATTAACTATGCTTAAGTATTTTGTTTGAGGTTCTAAATAATACTTTTTTAAAGTATGGAGAGAGAGATTAGCCATTGTTAAGTATTTTTTTTTATATTTTTAATTAAATATTTATAATATCTATTTATAAATATTCTCCTTTTCCTTTTTTTTTTTTCTTTCTGAAAAATAATTAAATTGTAAAAGGGGATAAAAAATACAAATACATATAAATAATTTCTGTAATATATATAAATACTCCAAAATTCGTTTATTATGCTATTGCAATATATAAATTTTTTTTTTTTTTTTTTTTATATAATATTATCATTTTTTTTTTTCATAGATATAACATTGTTACTTCGAAATTCTTTTTTCATTACATGTGTACATAAATTAAAATACATTAATCATGACTTTAAATGAGCATTCAAATAAAATACCTTTGTTTCCTATTAGTTTGTGTGTGCAATTACGTGTGTGTTTCATTATATAAAAATGTATATTTATGTATAACACTCTACGTATATTTGATTAGCTTTTTTTCTATGTATATTAAATATTTTTTTTTTAATTGTATATATGTTATTTCTTTTTTCTTTTAATTTTTGTTGTTCTAACTTTTCATTATGAGAAGTTAATTAAAAAAATACAGAAATTTGAGTTGACATATTTTATTACAACTATTTGATTACGCAAATTTTATAAAATTCAAAAGATAAAAATGAAGTCAAGAAAATGTTTGCTCTTTTTTTTTTTTTTTTTTTTTTTCTGAACTTGTCATAAAAGTTTATTCATAAATATTATAATTTAAATTAAAATAAAAGAAATTTTTTTTTTTTTATGATAACTTAATAAAAATAAAGAAAAGATAAAATAATTTATTAAATAAATTTATGAAATAAACAAAAAAAAAAATTTTTTTTTTTTTTTTTTTTTTTTTTTTTTTTTTTTTTTTATTACATAATATAATAAATAAAATAAAAATAATATATGAAAAACAAAGTTACGAATAATTTATAACTTAATATGTTTAATAAAACATATATATATATATATACATTTCTTAGTTTTTTCTTCTGAATTTAAATGGTTTAGATTTAGAATATTTATGTTTTGATATATTTTTTCTTTTTTTTTCAATTCTTTTCTTAGCTCTCTTATCTTTTTTCAATCTCTTATCAACATACTTAACTATGCTTTTTCCACCTTTCTTTTTCTTTTTATTGGCTATTTTTGATCCTTTTCCGGTACAAACTATGTAAGATTTTTCCCGTTTTTTTTCTAAAAAGAATAGAAATAAAAGTTGTGGGTATATATATTTATTTATCAAAATATAAAATTATAAATGTATACTACTGTATAAATTCTGCATAATATAAAAAACTTTATACACATGCATATATATTTATAGTATTCTATAAATAATCATATAAAACTTATTGAATAATATATATATGTCATAAAAAAATTAATAATAAAAAGAAAATTTTTCATTTTTCATGTTAAATAAAATGCGTAATTATGTACCTGATTTGTTTTTTCTTAACAAATTAGTTATGGCCTTTTGTTGGAGGAAGGGATCATCTTCATTTTTCTCTATTTTTCCGATTTTTGTTTCTAGTTTTTTCATTTTAGCTATTTCTCTTTTTTTATTTCTCATTTTTGCTTCAATAACCTTTTTAATAGGCATTCTGGTTATTTTATTAATTTTGCTTTTGTACTGATCTAATATTTTTTTATCAATAGAAATAACAGGTTTTCTAAACTTTTTTTCTTCTTCTAAAAACCATTCAGGTAAAGTATCTTCATCTTCTAAATAAGAATTTCTATTAAATGACTCGTCTATTAAATCCATTCTACTTTTTTTATGAATTAACTTTTCTCCTATGCATCTTATAAATGCTAATTCATCCTCATCTTTAACTAAATTCGAAAAATAATTATTTATATTTTGTGAATTTTCATTGGTTTTGACAATAGAAAAACTAGAGTTTTTCATTTTTACTTCGTTATTTCCATATTTTTCTTTTAATTTTTTTTTTTTTTCCTTCTTAGCTAGCTTTTCTGGTAATGGAATTTTAGGCAATTGACTTTCATTCATTTCTTTTATATTTTCACTTATATCTTCACTTAAGTTATCATCATTAATACTATCACTGTCATATTTTTTGTCTATTGTATTCTCCTTTTTTAAAGCACCTTTTTTTTCATCCACATTATTATCATTATTTGTTTCATTATCTAATTGATCAAATATATTAGTAAATATTTTCTGATCAAAAAAACGACTCATATTTGAATGCTCTTCTTCTTTTTTTTTAACATCTTTTCTTAAACGCATTATTTTATTAACTATATTTTTTATATGTAAATTCTCTTTTAATAGTTCACTAGTTTCATAACTATCTTTTTCATACTTTCCTTTTTTATAAATTTCATAGTTATTATCATCTGATTTATCTTTTTCTGATAAACTATTATCATCACTTGATTCTTCATCACTCAAATAATCATGTAATTTTTTTTTCATTAACAATTCTTCATTTTTCAATTCCATTATTTTTTGAATTTTCATTAATTCTTCATTTTTGTAATCCATTGCTCTTTTTCTTCTAGTCATATTATCTATTTTTTTTTCCTCCTGTAATTTCTTTTCCTTCATTTTTTGTTTTTCGTAGTCTAAGTTAACAAGATATTCTAATTCATCTAACTTCGAATTACCTAATTTTTTTAAATAACGGTTTTCCTCACTTTTATCAGAAGAATAATTTTCTTCACTAATTTCAGATTTATCTTCATAAATTTCTAGTTTTTCATCATCATTATTGTTTAAAATCTTTAAATGGTCTTCAAATTTTTGTTTATTTAATAACTTTAACATGTCTTTATTGAAATGTATTTCTTCTTCATCATAATCAATTTTAAGAGTTTGGTTAGATTTTTTTTTTTTTTCTAATTCTTTTTTTAATTTTTTCTCCTTTTTTTTTTTTTTTTTTTGTTCCTTTTTTTCAATATAACTAGAAAATTCATTTATTTCATCTCTTTCAGAATAATCATCGGAAGAATTACTCAATTCATCTTCTGATATATTTCTTACATTTAACTTCACACTATCTTTTTCTTTTTCTTCCTCTTGTTTCTGTTCATTTTCCTTTTTTTCTTTTTCTACTTCATTGCTTTTTTTATTAATATTTCTATTTATAGCATTTTTAATTTTATATCTCCATTTAATTAAATGAAATAAATCTGATTTACCTAATATTTTTAAGTCGTTACATAAATGAAGTATTTCTTCTGTTGTTTCTTCATTTTTGTATATACAATTATATGTAGTTTTTATTAGAGGATCTGAAGAATTTTCATAATTTTTATCAAATGTAAATTTATTATTTTTTATCAATAAATCTATATAATTATCACTGTTAATAAAATTACATATATCTGTATCTCTGTAATCATCTCCAACATCGTATCCTTGCCTATTTTTTTTCTTCTTTTGTTTCAAAATAGTAGACAATCCTTTTTTTTTTTTAATTTTTTTGTTTGTTTCTTCTTCATCACTATTATCACTAAAATCAGTCTCATTTTTGTGAAGTGAATTTATTTTATTATAATCCTTTTTGAATTCATCACTAAAAACATATGTATAATCAAATAATTTTTTGTCTACTTTATTATTTAAAAAATTAATAGCAATTAAATATATTTCCGACGATATTTCTCTACTACTTCTCGGTTTTATATGCTTTACTTCAGCAAATAATTTTTCCAGTACCCATATTAATGAAATATATTCTTCATTTCTAAAAACTTTCGTAATAAATATTCCATTTTTTTTTAAAAAAAGATGAGCTATTTTAATACTATTAAGAACTAAAATATTCTGATTGTAACTATCATATGAATAAGTAGTACCTACATTAGGTGCACCATCATTTAAAATTACATCTGCCTTTTCATTTTGTATAATATTTTTTATTTTTTTAATACAATCACCAGTTGTTATATCACTTTTTATCGTTATTACATTATCATCAATTTTTCTAATTGGTACTAAGTCAATTCCTATTATTGTGCTACTTTTATTCATGTTTTTATAAGCTACTTGCAACCAACCCCCTGGTGCAGCACATAAATCTATTAATATTTTTGCATCTTTGAAAATGTTATATTTTTGCGCTATTTGAATCAATTTAAAAGCTGATCTTGCTCTATATCCTGCTGTTTTTGCTAATTTATAATACTTATCAATTCTTTCTTTTCCCACTTTTTTCTTTTTTCCCATTTCCTTATAATTTTTGATTTAAAAAAAATAATGTATTAATTGAATTAGTTTTTAATAAAAGATATATTTATAAAATGAAAGAAATATAAGATAATCAAATTCTCCTTATAAATGTTACTTTTATTAAAAATATTTTAATGATTTAAATATTTTTTTTTCTTATGTTTTTTTTTTTTTTTTTTTTTTTTTTTTTGTTAAAAAAATTATATAAATGCTTTTAATATCTCAAATTATAATGTGTTTATTTAAATTAATTTTACAATTTAATCAAATTAAAATGCTAATTTAAATATATTAATAGAAAAGATATATACATACATTTATTAAATTTCAAGAATATAATTTTATATATACAAAAATAAAAGAACAAAAAAAATTAAAATTTTTAAATTTTCTTAAAATCTCATATAATTTGAAAAATTCTATAAATAATTATAAAATATATTTTTTTATTATCTTTTTATTATTTTTTTTTTTATTTTTTCATTATCTACAATGCAATTATTTATTTTAATTAAGCTTTTATTTGTTTGTCCTTCAAAAAAAAAAACTTTATGCATGAATGTTTTTTCTCCTTTAAAATTATAGTATATTATATGTGCTTCTTGAATTATTCTTTTTTTTTTTTTTTAATATTCAAATAAAACTATATATTTTTGAATAATTTCTTTTAAAATAATTTGATATTCATTTGAATTTTTTTAATTTCATGATGATTAAATGCAAATAAAGATTCTATAATATTTAAAAAAAATTGTAAAATTAAAATTTTTTTTTGTCGCCTTTTTTATATTTTAATGAACAATTGAATCATCTAACATATAAACAAGAAAAAATATAAATATATTTTCCATTCTCAATAAAAAAAAAAATGATAATCTAAAAGTGTTAAAAGAATTATTTTATAATGTTAAAAATATTTCTGTAATATTTAAAATTAAAAAAAAAAATGAAAGTTATTAGAAATAAATTAAGGAAATATCATAAAAAAAAAAATAAATAAATAAATAAAAATACATATATATAAAGAGTAAAATAAACTAAAAACTTAAATATAAAAAAAAAAAAAAAAAAGTTTTAAAAAAACTTCTACAAACATATATAATTATAAACGATTATTAGCTGATTTTAAAATATATGCACCAAAGAGGAAAAAATGTTTACATATAATTTCTTGAAGCATAAAACAAAAACAATTTTCAAAATATAAAATAAATAAAAATTAACATAATATTCTGGATATATTTTATGTGAATTGAACATCACCAATAGACACAATGGCTACAATTAATCCATACAATCCTTGAAAAAAAATAAATTGTTCATAAATATCATTATTTGTTTTCTTAAAAAATTTAAATATATATGTAAACTATTTTTACATATGTTCATAAATTATTTATTGTTATTCTTTTTATTTCATAAAAGAAAACTTACCTATAACACTAGCACATATTTCAACCATTAACATTCTAACAAAAAGGTCAGAATTTTGTGCATCTGCCAAAGCACATGTACTACCAGTAATACCTACAGAAATACTGAAGTTACAAACATAAAAAGAAAAATAAATTATATAAAAAGAATTTTATTAAAATTTATTTTTGTTTGTGTCTTATTATATATGTATTCATATTTTAGTTATTTATACTGATATTTATTATTTTTTTTTTAATAAAATACCCTGAAACGAGATTAGATAATCCTGCCGTAAGGCCACTAGCTAATAATGCCCATCCTCCTCCTATAGTATTCATAATTAATTGATCCTTTTCATTCATTAAAACTAAAGGGGGATGAACTTCTTTATTTATTCCAACAAATTTTATCTGTAAAAAGACAGCTGTAATAACCCCATACATACCTAAAAAAAGTCAAATATAATTTATTTACTATATATTTTTTTTTTAATATACTTTTTTTTCATCTTTATATAATATGTTTCTAATTTATCTTTTTTATCTTTTTTTTTTTTTTTTTTTTTTTTTTTCAATTAAATGAAAAAATTTACCTAATGCTTCACAGAAAATAATGGAAATCAAATTCTTCGATATGATACGTGGGGATTTAACTGAAGCTCCCATAATACTTGTGCCACAAATAAATATTCCCCTAAATTTAAAAAAAAAAAAAAGAAATAATAATACATAATTAAAGTAAATATAATAGAAATAGTATTCTTATTTTTTATTCAAAAGAGTAATATTTTTATTTTTTCATCATTTTATTTTATATTTCTTTACCATGCTGCTCCAATAATAGAAAGGAATAATGAAAATGCTATACCAAGCATTGCCCAATTATATGGCGAAATGGATCGCACTATTTCATACCAAGAGTTATACATTGCGTATTAATGTTCTTTTTTTTACATTAAATAAAAAAAAAAAAAATAAGGAAGTTGATACTATTTTAATAGATTGATTAATATTTATAATAATGCATAAAATTATCCACAACTTTAAATGTTTTTATTCTAAAAAATTCAATTTTTTCTTAATATTTTTTTTATTATTTTGATGTGTATAATCTTCTAATCTCAAAAAAAAAAAAAAAAAAAAAGAAAACTAAGAAAAGGTTATCTTTTTTATTAATGTATTTCATTACTACATTTTTATCTCTTATACTATTTTTTTTTTCTGCCTTTTTAAAATAAAAAGAGGCAATCATTAAAAATATTTGATTATATTTTATGTTTCATAAAAATACTATTAATGAGAAATATTAATTATTATGCATATAACTCTGTTTTTTAAAGTCTTATTAATTCCGTATTGTTATCATATTATGTAAAGGCATAAAAAAAAGTAACAAAAGATTAAATATTTCTTTTAATGTATTTTATACATATAATTTCTTCTTATTCCTTTTTATTAACCATAGAAATTATTTGACACAATTCAACTCATAAAGAAGTGTATTGCTTCCTTCTTAAAAACGTTTTTTTTAAACCTTTGTAATTAAAATAAATAAATGTAAATATAAATTTATATTATATTTTTCTATTTACTTTTTTTTATTTTTCTTTATTTTTATTTTTACTATTTATTTTATTTTTTTTTATTTTATTTTTTTTTTTTTTTACTAGCTATAAAAATATTTTTTTATTTCACAAAAACATGCAAGTTCAAATTACAAAAAATGAAAAAAAAAAATATTGAAAATAAAGAAAATTAATGGTTAAAGTAGCATAAAAAATGTAATAGTTATTGTGACAATAAATATTTAAAAAAAAAAAAAAAGTAAAATTAAATTTAAAAAATAAATTTTTGTGTAAAATAAAAAAAAAAAAGAAAAAAATTTATAGGAAATATTAATATATAATATAAATAAAAATATAGGAGGAAAAATGGTAACATTAATTTAAAAAAAAGAAAATATTAAAATAAAATCAAACAAAAAATAAAATATGTGAGTTTAAGGTACCATAATAGAAGTATAAGAGAAAGAAGAAAGGGAAATTAAAGTAAAATACCTTTTGAAATTATATAAAGTAAAAATGAAAAAAAAAAAAAAAGAGTCTTAATAATATTTAATAACAACACATCCATTTTCTTGTCAATATACTTTTTTAATATATTTTTATTATAAAAATAGAAGAAAATAAATGAATTTGGTTAATGCATATACATATATATATATATAAATAATTTTAAAATATGAAAACAGGAAATGTATACAGTAAATCGAAATAAGAAAATTAATACTAATGACTAGTTACATAAAGTGTTTAATATTAAAAAAAAAAAAAAATGATTTTATTTTAAATCAATGAAAAAATATAAATTTTCTATTGATATTATATATAGGAAGTATTGTAAGAAATAAGTAAAACAAATTAGCTTTTTTTATTTTATTGGTATAGAGAGTAATAGAAATTTTTTTTTTTAATAAGAATGAAATAGAAAAATAATTATATATAAATAAATATCACCATTTCGTAAGTTAATAATTTGTTTCTAAAAAAATTTTAAGTGTATTAAAAAAAATACTAAAAGAATAGCTTCTTAACTTATTACACAACTTTTTTTTGAATTGAAAAAAATAGAAAATTTTTATGGGTATAATAACCTCTAAATTACTTACTTGCTTTAAAGAAAAGAAATTCATTTATAAAAAGGAATATATTAAAAAAATTAATAAGAATATAATTTTTCCTTTTTATTAATTTATTTTATTTTTTTTTTTTTTAATTAAATAGTTAATAATTTATAATAATTTAGTTAAAGTAGATATTCTATAATTTTTTTTTTTTTAAAAAGTGTGAATTTAAATAGATTCAAATGAATAGCTAATTTTTATAATAATTTTTACTTTCTTTTTAAATAACAAAGGATATATAAAAAGTGTATAAAAGTTAGGTTACAAGAAAAAAATAAAAAATAAATAAACCTTAAATTTACTAATTTATAGAATATATAATTCAGTGTTAATTTCATTCTTAATTATATCTATAGGTATTTTTATTTCTCCAATAATGTAAAAAAAAATTTTTTTTTTCTTATCGTCATATATCTAAATTTTAAAAATATTTAGTAACATCTGTAAAAACTTTCAAATATATTCTATTATTATTATTTATTTTATTTTTTTTTTTTTAGATGAAAATTATTTTCTTAATATTTTTCTTTTTTTGGGAACTAGGATATAATATTATATACATTATTTTATATCATTTTTTTTTTTTTTTTTTTTTAAATTAATTTATTAATAAAAAAAACATACTAAAATTAAAATACAAACATTTTTTATTTTTTTCATAATATACATCAATATAAAAGTAGAAAAAAAAAAAAAATTACAAAAAAAATTTTTTTTTGAAGATGCCCTAAAATTTTTAACATTCAAAATTAATAAGAAAAAAAAAGAGAGATTTATTAAATTTTTATTTATGTCATATTTTATTGGGTGAGAGAAGTAAAAAAATAAAATAAAGAAATTAATGTTTATATTTCATCTTAGAAGGTTTGTTAACAAAACATTAAAGCATATATTTTTTTTTTTTTTTTTTTTTAAATCTATTTTCTTATATTTTTATTTAATTAATTCCGTATATTTATAAATATCTAAATTTATTCAAAATGGATATCTTTAATCATGACATTAAAAATGTTGATAAAGGAAATGTGGTTGCAGTATTAGGTGCCCAGTGGGGTGATGAAGGAAAAGGTAAAATAATTGATATATTGTCAAAATATTCGGATATAACATGTAGGTTTAATGGAGGTTCTAATGCAGGTCATACTATATCAGTTAATAATAAAAAATATGCTTTGCATTTATTACCATGTGGTGTATTATATGAGAATAATATAAATGTTTTAGGAAATGGTATGGTAGTTCATATAAAATCACTAATAGAAGAAATAAATTCTATTGGAGGAAACATATTAGATAGATTATATTTATCTAATAAATTACATATCTTATTTGATATACATCAAATTATAGATTCATTACAGGAAAATGAAAAATTAAAAGAAGGAAGTCAGCTTGGTACAACTAAAAGAGGAATAGGTCCGTGTTATTCTACAAAAGCATCCAGAATAGGTGTAAGATTAGGAACATTAAAAAATTTTGAAAATTTTAAAAAGATATATATTAAATTAATAGATCACTTAATGGGATTATATAACATAACTCAATATGATAAGGAGGAAGAATTAAATTTATTTTATAAATATCACTTAATTTTAAAGGATAAGATAGTTGATGTTGTCTCCTTTATGAATAAAAGTATAGAAAATAATAAAAAGATATTAATTGAAGGAGCCAATGCAGCTATGCTTGATATTGATTTTGGTACTTATCCGTATGTAACTAGTAGTAGCACAACAGTGGGAGGTATTTTTTCAGGTTTAGGAATTAATTATAAAAAATTGAATTTAGTGATAGGTGTAGTGAAAAGTTATTTAACTAGAGTTGGATGTGGACCTTTTTTAACAGAATTAGATAATGAAATTGGTGAGTATTTAAGAGAAAAAGGTTATGAGTATGGAACGACTACAAAAAGACCTAGAAGATGTGGATGGTTAGACATTCCAATGTTGTTATATGTAAAACATATTAATAGCATTGATATAATTAATTTGACAAAATTAGATGTATTATCAGGGTTAAAAGAAATTTTATTATGTACTAACTTTGTAAATAAAAAAACAGGTAATTTTTTACAACTATATCAGGATAAATATATTAAACTTTTTCAATTTATTAAAATTTTTTTTTAAAGTTATTTTTTACGATTTTCTTTTTCGTATCTATTATATTAATAATAATCAATAATTTTTATATATTTATTCTTTTATATATTTTTGTTAATTTTCTTTTTCTTTTAATTTGTAGGGAAGTTATTAGAAAAGGATTGTTATCCTATTGATGAAGATGAATTAGCAGAATATGATCCAGTTTATGAAAAATTTGAAGGATGGGAAGAAGATATATCATGTTGCAAAGAATTTGAAGATTTGCCATTAAATGCAAGAAAATATATTTTTGCAATAGAAAAATATTTAAAAATTCCAATTGTATGGATAGGTGTAGGTCCGAATAGAGAAAATATGATTACCAAAAAAATTTTTAGTATAAACTAAACAAAAAAAAAGCTAATTAATATTATTGATAATACAAACGTATTTTCCAATTTTTTTTTTATAAGAAAATTGCTAGAGGTAGGTCAATAATTATATATTATTTCCATTTAAAATACATATATTTATATACTAAAAAAGTAAATAAATATATAACATTGTATTATAATAAATAAATGTGAAATAGTATTAAAAATAAAATTTTCTTTTTAAATGTACAAAATAATAATTAAAAATGAGAAAAAAAAAAAAAAAAAAATTACATCAATTTTTGTTTAATATTTTTAAAAACAAATATAATTAATTTTACCTTTCTTTTTTTAAGTATTATTTTTTAAAATTAAAAATAACCATAAAAAATTGTAATTACAAATTAAAAAAAAATATATATGCACACAAATTAAATTTCCACTTATAAATAGTGTATATTGTTTTATGTATTACAAAGTACCATTAATTTAACAAAGAAAAAAAATTTTTTAAATTATTTTTTCTAATATCTCGTTAATTTCTTCTTTCATAAATCCTTTGAATTCATTTTTAAATTGTAGAAAATCAAAAGTCATCTTATTATTTAGAAAAGAAAAATCAAAAGGCATAATATATTTTTTTGTGATCAAATCTGCATTTTCTTTACATTCGAAAATATAATCACAAAGAGATGAAAAAGAGAGTATTCCTTGCTTTCCAAAGAGTTCTTCAATAATTTTATTGCTGTTAACTCTTTTTATTTTATTATTATCATCTTTTAAAAAAAGCCTTTTTTCCATTAAATTATAAAAATTATATTTTTTTATATAACCATAACATATGTAAGGACTTATTATAAATAATATTTTCATATTTTTTTTAGTATTAATTAATAATATACCATCATATTTATTATTTAACTTTAGCTTCTACAAATAAAAAATTATATAAGGTATAAGGAATAAATAATATATTTGTAACTTATATATACAAAAGTATATATAATTAAAAATATAATATACTCTCTACATAAGACATAATTTAATCTAATAAATTTTAATATAATAAAAGAATGATCAACAATACACATTAGAAAATAAATAAGTCTTAATAAACAAAAAAAAAAAAAAAAATTAGGTACCTGAAGAATTTTTTTGGGAGCATTATAAATACAATCAACATCATTTCTTAGTACAAAAATGCAAGACTTTTCTTGATCAAAATTTTGATTTTTCCATTGTTTTTGTAAGTTATAAAATTCATCTTTTTGCTTTTCTAATTTTTTTTCATATTCTTTCTTTTTAAAGATAGTATCAAATTTTTTTTTGCTCTTCTACAGGAAAAATAAAAGAAAAAAAAAATGTCACAAATATATAGAGTATAATGACGTTTTTTTTTATAATCATCCTAATATATTTATAAAAATTTTTGGGTTTAAAAATATAGTTTTCTTACATTTTTTTTCACTTTGCTTTTTCTTTTTTCCACTAATATTTTTTCATCCTTAAATTTTATTTTTTTCACTCTTCTAAATTTTACACGTTTTATTTTATTATTTCCAATTTTATTTTTTGGCTCTTTGGTTATTTCGCTTTTATTCATTTTTTTTAAAATAATATTAAAAAATGATTAAATTTTTAAGTTAAAATAACAAAAATAAAAATAAAAATATATAATTGTGTGAATTAAAAAAAAAAAATAAAAAATAAATTAGATGATTTAAAAAATTATCAATAAAATTTTATTATAAATATAAAAAAATTGAACAATTTAATAAAAAAAAAAATTATTATTAAATAATAATAGAGGGTTTATCATAAATATATATACGAAATTTAAATAATAATTTAATTTTTTAATTTTTTTTTTTTAAATTTTTATATGTTACATGTTAAAAATTATATGAAGTCAAAAAGTATTAAAAAAAATTAGCCTATATTGAAATTTTATAAGAAAAATTATGTTTATCATATTTTCATTAAATAATATATTACATTTAATTAATGTTTTATAGGAATTTTTTTTTTTTTTTTTTTTGTTCATTTAATTTTCTTTTAATTTTTAGCTAATTCTACTTAAAATTTTATTTAAATTGAGTTTTTTTTCATTATTTATTTTTCTTGAATATTTCTAAAGTATATATATCTATATATTTATTTTTTTATTTTCTTTTTTAATGTGAATTTCATGACATTTTAATTCTTATATTTTTTAGATTTCATTTTGTATTCGAAAATACATATATTTTGAATATAGATTTGTTCTATATTTATTATATTTATTTATATCTCTCATAATTTTTCCTTTTTTATTTTTTTAAGCAAATAATAAATACACCTAGCTTTGTTAAAATTAGGATATGCTAAATTCTTACTTGTACAATTTGTGGTAGTTTTTAAAATATCATTTTCATTATCCGGTAAAGTAAATTTAAAATTGAAAAATTTAATAGTTTTTTTGGGTGCTAATTTATGTATTTTATAGCCTATATTTAAAAAATACTTTTTATGTTTACTATTTGAATCAACATCTTTTGGTTTTACATTTATTTTTATTTTTTTTTTTGATGTTTTTTTTGCGTTTTTTTTTGTTATGCTTGATATGTTTTTTAAATTTAATTGTGATTTTTTTATACTTACTTTTGATTTTGTCTTATTTTTTCTTTTTAGTTTTGATTTCCATTTTAATTTCAAGTTCGATTTAATTTTTGTTTTAATTTTTTGTGTTTTTATTGTTTTTAATCGTAAAGCCGTATTTGCTTTTTCATAATTTTTCTTCTCGAATAATGATATAAGATATTTATCAAAAAGGTTATTTTTTTCTAGCCAGTAATTACTTTTTTCATTTTTCTTATGTATTTGCATCATTTTATAAATAGATATTTTATCTAATATTAGCATTTGTGTACTTTTCATGAATTTATATAATGAATAACACATTATTTGAAGACTGTAAATTATTTTTAATCCTTTTCTTCTACCTATTAATTCTGTCTTTCCATTAATTTTACTTTTTTTTTCTACATTATTTATATTAATGTAATTGTAAGCTATTTTTCTTTTGGTTTTTATATAACTACTAGCCCATATTTGAACTACCAAATTTTCTATACAATCTCCTAAGCTATAGGGCAAAAAGAATTCGCAAAACCAATTTATTTCTTTTGAAAAAAATTTTAAGTAATTTTTATATTTTATATTTTTCCAATAAAATTTTATATATGGTTTTTCTTCAAGTGTTATTTTATTGTCGTTTGTGTCATATACATCATGAACAGTAAAATGTAAAATTAGCATTTCGTCTTTAGGCAGAAACATATTTTCAAAAAATAAAAAATAAAATATTAAATTATAAGTTTTTTTTTATTTCATATAAAATAAAAAAAGAAATGTTAATAATACACAAAAGTATATTATATATATATATATATTAATATATATATGTTAATATAGCATGTAACAAAATTTAGGATTATAATATTATTTAAATTTCACATTAACAAAATAGAAATTTCAAAAAAATTTTATTAACAGCAAGAACTTTATAAAAAAAAAAAAAATTAAAAAAATTTATAATATTAAGGTATAAGGAAAAATTTTTTACACTTTTAGAGTTTTTTTTATTTTTAAAAAAAAGATTCGAAAGTTTTTATGTTACTATATAATGAAAGTAAAATAATAAATTAATTAATAAATACTGGTTGTACACTAAAAAATAAAAAAGACATCTTTTTCTTTTCTTTTTTTTATAAAATTTTTACAACTTCAAATAAAAAGGGATCAAATTTTTAAAAAAAAATTTTGTCTTAATAAGCAGTGCATTAACTTGTTCTACATGTAAAAGAATGAATAAAAAATCAATTATTTGATCTTAAAGGAAAATTATTAATTTTTCTTTATAAATTATTCATATAAAAAAAGAAATAAAAAATTATTAAATAAAAATATCTGATATAATTATAACAAAAAAAGGAAATGTTGTAATTTCCATATTATTCCAAAAGCTAAAAACGGTAAAGATATTTTTTTAAATGCATGTGTTTTGAGAATAATGGAAGAGAAAAAAAAAAATAAATAAAAAATGTAAATAAATAATTATATCAAAAATATAAAATAAAAAATAAAGAGAAATGATGAAAACTTCGAAAATAAAAAAAATATTTATCAAGAACAATTTTTTTTTTATTCCATTTAAAATGATGTATTTTTTGTTACAACTAAGAATGTGTATCACCTTTCTATTCAATGGAAAATTAAAAAGAGAAATTTAATTGAATATTTTATTTTTTTAAAGTTAAAATAATTATTTAAAATTTAATTATATTTTTAAAATAATAAAAATATATTTACAACACTAAAATTAATTTTTAATTCTCTGAATTTTCTTTTTTGTTGTTGTAAAAAATATTTCATATATTAAATTAAAAGAAAAAAGGTTATTTTAATAATATAAAAATACTTTTTTTAAAAAGAAATTGAGATTAAAAGGATTATTATAATCTTGGTGTTGTTAGAAAAAATAATAAAACAATTTTAAGCAAGCATTTCTTTAATCCTTATTAAGAGATTAAGTAAAAAATTAGATAACTTATTTTTGTTCTAATAAATTGAAAAAAAAAATAATAAAATAATTACACAAACACAACTCTTAAAAAAAAACAGGATATTATTAGAATACTTAAAAAAAAAAAAAAAAAAAAAAAAAAAAAAGACATAAATTGAATATTAAACCGAATATAAATAAAAGTTAAGAAAAAAGCAACATGCTTTTTTTTATTATAAAAATAAATTAAGAAAATATTTTAATTAATGAAAATATTTAGAAAAAAATTAAATATTAATACTTAAATACATAAAATTAAATTTTATACTAACCAAATTTACTCTTTTTTTTTCATTATTATAACTGTATTAAAATTAATTAATATATAACTAAAAAAAAAAGGAAATATAATAAGTATGTACATGAAAGTTAATTTTTTACTTTTTTTAGTAGAAAATAATAATTGAACTTTAATAAATATATTTATTCGAAATATTCATTTTTTTTAAAATTAATAATATTATACATTTTCAATAGATACTAAAATGTTAAGAAATATATATTATAAGGAATAGAATAATGCTCATTCCTAAACCTATTTATATTTTAATTTTTTTTTATATGGTTAAAATTTTTTTTTTTTTTTTTCCTTTATTTTAATGTAACTATTAAGAACAAGTCCTAATTTTTCGTTTTTATTTTTCAGAATATGTTCAAAATCAAATATTCTGTCTAAACTAAATTTTTGTGAACTCATAAAACATATTTTTTGATTATTATATGTCTTAATATAGTTATTTATATTCTGCAGTAAGTATTCATATGTTATATAATTTTTATTTGTGTTTAAAATGTGTATCATTGATGTAACCAATGATCCTCCAGGTGCATTACTTTTATTATCAATTTCATTTGCGTATTTTCCATCTTTACACCCACTAAATTGACTAACATCACAAACAACATGAAATGGATTTTTTTCTTCTTTCCACTTTTTTGACTTTAATTTATATTTATAAGCTAAATCTAAGCAAGTTCCTGAGCTACAGCAATCAACAACAGATATTAATTTCACTCCATCATTTAATGGTTGAATTAAATATCTATGCAAATCATTATCAATAATTTCTCCTTCTGATTTAAAATCACATGGGAGTATCGTTTCATTATATCCATCTTCTTCTATATTTGTATAGTCTTTTTGTTGTGAACCGTGCCCAGAATATAGAAAAAAAAATATATCTCCTGGTTTGTTATCTGTAGTTAACCATGCTAAAGCTGACAAAATGTTTTTTTTTGTAGGCCTATAATTTGGATTACTTTCATTATCAATTAATCTTATCATAGTCATTGATGAATCATAAAAATTGTATTTTGATATAAGTAAATTTTTCATCCTTAATGTATCATTTACACACCCTTTTAATTCATACTTAGTACCATAATAATTTATTCCTATCAATAAAGCTTTTTTTTTGTTTCCTGAAGAAAAATAGAGAATTTTTTCTGAATAAGGAGATGGCATAGAATTTCCTGTATAATACACAGGATTAGGTAGAAAAGTATTTCTGTTATTATTATCTAAATTATTTACACTATTTAAATTACTTACATTATTTAATGGATAATTCATTTTATTAGTAACTGGATTGAAAATATTACTATTATTTGCATTGTTATAATTATAGCCATTGTATACATCTAAAGGAGGATTTATATTATATGTATTTGGTATCATATTATATGTTGCATTTGGTAACTCATGTATATTATCCACCAATGGAATATCATTTTGATATTGCATATTTCTTTGAAAATGCATATATCTATTTTTTTGTGAAGTATCTACATTAACAAAATCCCCTTTCTGAAGATCAATTATAGTGTCCTTCTCATTATAATTTTTTAAAATAGAATCTTTTATTTCTTTATTTGTTTTATTAGGAAATCTTTCTTGTATATTATAAAATATTATGTCACTTTCATTTTTAATTATAAAAACGGATAAATCTAAGCTACACATTTTTAAAACATCTTTCAAATTTATTTTTTGTTTAATTATTCTTTCTTTTCTGATAAATTGAAGTGTAAAAAAAGTGTAAGCTACTTTTCTATTTACTAATCCACTTACCCATACTTCAATAAAAAGTTTTTCTTTATCATCTTCCGATTTTTCTAAAGGAATTATAAACTCTTCATTAAATTTATATGTTAAACCACGCAATTTAGAACTTTTGTATTTTTTATTTTTCCAATAAACTTTTATGTAGTAAGTAGAATAATCATTGCTATTTAATTCTGATAGTTCAAATACTTTTATATAAATTTTTTCCATTTTTCATAAATATATATATATATATGTATACTACTTTTTCTACTAAAAAGTAAATTAAATTATGTATAATTACAGTTAAACACTATAAAAAAAAAAAAAAAAAAAAAAAAAAAAAAACATTAAAACAATAAAACAGAATAAGCCCAAGGTTAAATTAATTAAATAAAAAAAAAAATCAACTAAAAATTAAAAAGATATAACAATTTCCGATTAATTAATTATTTTAATTAGAATAAAATTAATTAGGTTATAAAAATACAGTTTTCAAAATTTATACACATAATACCCTTCATTATGCTTTATTTCCTCATTATGTATTTTTATAAAATATATATAAATTCACAACAATAAAAAGTAAACTTTTGATAAAAATATTCCTTAAAATTTTTTATAATTATATTTTTAAACATAATTAATTAAAAAAAAAAAAAAAAAATATAAGAAAAAATAATTTAAAAATAAAAAAACAATAAATAAAATACAAATAAACTTGAAAATTTTATTTATATAAATGCATGTGCTTTTAAAATGTGTACACAACATATTATTATAATAAATATGCTTTGTGTTAAAAACATTTTCCAAATATTTAATGAAACTGTGTAAACTATTATACTCTTAAAAAAAGGAAAAAGAGAAAGAAATTAAAAAATTACGTAAATAAAAAAAAAAAAAAAAAAAATTCTAGTAAAAGTATGATATTCATTTTTTTTTTTTTTTTTTTGTTACTTTCTTTAAAAAAAATATAATTTTAATAAAGAAACTTCATACTATTAAAACTATTTAAAAATAGTATTCTCTTGAATTATTTTAATATTTCATAATTCGTTTGAGATAATTAAAACTATTTTAATTTTTTATATATTCAAAGTTTTAATATATTTTTAACTTGTTTGGATATTTTTTGTTATTAAATTTTTTATTTTTTTTTATTTTAATTCTATCTTTTTATGAAATTTTTTATTCTTAATATTCCATTTTTTGTATGAATGCTTTCAATACTTAGTTTTTTGGTTATATTTAAAAAAAAAAAAAAAAAAATATGGATTCCAATATTAAAGAATTAATTAAAAAAGAAAAAGAAAGAAGAAAATTAATAAGAAATGAAAAAAAAAAAAAAGAAAAAATAAAAGAGGAGACAAATTTAAACCTTTCTGAAGAAAGTAATTTAAAAATTCCCAAAAACCTCTTTCTAAATATACAGAAGAATTATGAAAACAATATAGGAGAATGCAATGAAGAAAATGAAGACATATATAAAAGTAATATATCGAAAAAAGAATGCAATATCCTAAATGAAGGTCATTATAAAGAGCCAATGGCACCCGTAAATAAGTTAAATAAAAACTGTAATTTAAAAGAAGCATTTTCAAAATACAATAATAAAAAAGATGATTATATTTTTGAAAAAAATGAAAATGAAGATACTAGTAAAAATATTGAGTATGATAAAATTAGTAGTTCTATAGATATAAAAAACAATGATAACTTACCTGAAGATTTTTTTGATAGTTTCAAAACAAGTGATAATATAAATAATATATTAGAAACAAAAAATTGTGAAAAAATTGAAATAGATAAAAATCTTAATAACAATATGGGAAATGATATTACAAATGAAAAAGAAGAAAAAAATGAGATAATGAAAACTTCTCCTGATATTCAATTTGACAGAAATTCAAAAAATGAAGTGGTTAAGAATCATTTAGGTGATAAATATAACTTATCAGTAGAACAACAAAATAATTGCATCACGAAAAATGAGTATAAAGATGAAAATGATGATGATGTTGAAATATTAGAGACTTATGAAATTATTGAGCCAACTAACAATTTAGATTTTAAAAAAAATGATAATATTCTTAAGAAAAAATTAGAAAAAAGAAAAAAAAGTGAAAATAATGAAAATGAAGAGGATGAAAATGAGGTTTATAAAAAAATAAAAAAAGAATCTAATACAAATAATATAAATGATGAAATAGAAAATAATAATTACATACAGGAATTATATGATAGTAATTTAGATGATTTAGTTTATTATAAACCAATAGATACAGCATATTATGAAGAACTTGATTACTTACATAAAATGCTAATAGAAAAAAAAAAAAGTATATTAGGAAATATGTATGATGAAGATAAAGAGAGAAATGAGGAGAATGAAGAGGATATTTTAGAAGAATTGAATGAATTTCATAAAAAAAAAAATAAAGAAAAAGAAAAAAATTCAAATTTTAACATTAATGAAATATATGAAATATTAAATATAAAAAAAGGTGAGCATAAGAATGATTTTTTAGATGAAATAGTAAATAAAAATCAGGAAAATAATTTAGCCAAGAAAAATACACACTCTGATAATATACCAAAGGGATTTTTTGATAATAAAGAAAAAGATATTTTTATTAGAGAAAAAATATCTTTGTCTACTTTAAATCAAAAAATAGCAGAAATTAAAAAACAAAAAAAAAACATTTTATTAGAATATAAAAATATAGAAAAAACTTATGAAGAAAAGAAGAATAATTACATTGATTATTTATATGACGATAAATATGATAATAAAACAAAAATTTTGAATGAATTAAAAAAAAAAACTACTAATTTAGAACATTTGAAAGATAAAATTACAAAAATTAGAAAAGAAAAAAAGAAAAAGAAATTGCAAAAAAAAGTAAATGCAAAGTTTGATGATAATGACCAAATAATTTATGATTGGAGAAAAAAGAGTTTTTTTTAATCAAAAGGAAGGCATATTATATATAATACATAAATACTTATCATAATATTGGATAAAAATAGGTATAAATATAAAAGGAGAAAACAGAAAGTAATAGAAATAAATTATATTTTTAACTTAATAAAAAAGAAATTTAAAAAAATATTTAAATTTTCTCAATATACACAATACATAAAATATTAAATTGTAAAATATAAATATAAAAATAAATATATATATATATATATATATATAAAGATTCAAGTTTATTTTTAAATAGACAAAGGTGCATACCTTTTTAAAATTTGCTTTGTTTGAAAAAATACTTATCCATTGGATTTTATGTCATTTTTTAAGATACATATATTTAAATAAATTAATTTTGTACTGTTTTAAATTAACAAATTTTCTCTTTTCTTTTTTACAAGTCTTTTTTACATTTTATATTATTAGAATATAATTTCTATTTATTTCTCATAAAATCATTGATATTTTTTTTTAAGTTCATGAAAAAAGCTGATTTTTTATTATTTAATAATTAAAAAAAAAAAAAAAAATAGCATATGTTGCACTTCTAAAGTTATTTTTATATTAAATATATATTATTTTTTTTCTTCCTTTTTTGTCTTTTTCTTTTATTTTTCATTTATTAAAACCTTAACTATTAAAATTTATTAACTTTTTCAGTTAAAGTACTATTTATCTATATTACAATCTTCACTTTTTTTTAACTTATTCTTTTTTCATAGCTCAAAAAAAAAAAAAATTAATGAATAGTATTAAACTTATTTTGTATGTTAATCATTAATATATATTATATTTCCTTTTTTTTTTTTTTTTTTTTGTTATTCTTTA